GATCTTATGTTAACAGAGACCACCACTAGTCTTATGTTAACGAAGACCTACACTAGTCTTATGCTAACAGGAGCCACCATAGTCTTATATGTTAACAGAGACCACCACTAGTCTTATGTAGCAGAGACCACCACTAGTCCATGTTAACAGAGACCACCACTAGTCTTATATTAGAGACCACCACCAATCTTATGTTAACAGGGCCACCACTAGTCTTATGCTAACAGAGACCACCATAGTCTTATGTTAACAGAGACCACCCACTAGTCTTATGTTAACAGAGACCACCACTAATCTTATACTAACAGAGACCACCACTAGTCTTATGCTAACAGAGACCACCACCTGTGCCCATGTTAACAGAGACCACCCACTAGTCTTATGCTAACAGGGAGACCACCACTAGTCTTATGTGCTTAGGAGACACACTAGTCTTATGCTAACAGAGACCACCACTAGTCTTATGTTAACAGGGCCACCACCTAGTCTTATATATTTAACGAGAGACCACCACTAGTCTTATATTGTGAGAGACACCACTAGTCTTATACTAACAGAGACCACCACTAGTCTTATGTTAACAGAGACCACCACTAGTCTTATGCTAACAAGAGACCACCACTAGTCTTATGTTAACAGAGACCACCACTAGTCTTATGCTAACAGGGAGCCACCACTAGTCTTATGCTAACAGAGACCTACTAGTCTTATGCTAGCAGAGACCACCACTAGTCTTATGTTAACAGAGACCACCACTAACCTTATGCTAACCTGGGAATACTACTTTCAAGTCTTATGTTAACAGAGACCACCACTAGTCTTATGCTGGCAGAGACCACCACTAGTCTTATGCTAACAGGGCCACCACTAGTCTTATGCTAGCAAGAGACCACCACTAGCTAGTCTTATGTTAACAGGAGCCACCACTAGTCTTATGTTAACGAGACCACCACCCCTAGTCTTATGCTAACAGAGACCACCACTGATCATGTATACTAACAGAGACCCACCCACTAGTCTTATGTTAGCTTAGGGGCCACCACTAGTCTTATGTTAACAGAGACCACCACTAGTCTTATGTTAACAGAGACCACCACTAGTCTTATACTTAACAGAGAGACCACCACCTAGTCTTATGTTAACAGAGGGCCACCACTAGTCTTATGTAACAGAGACCACCACTAGTCTTATGTTAGCAAGGAGACCACCACTAGTCTTATGCTAACGAGAACTACCACTAGTCCTTGCTAACAGAGACCGCCACTAGTCTTATGCTAGCAGAGACCACCACTAGTCTTATGTTAACAGAGACCACCACTAGCCTTATGCTAACAGGGCCTGCCACTGGTCTTATGTTAACAGGGGCCACCACCAGTCTTGTACTGAAGACCACACTAGTCTTATGCTAACAGGGCCACCACTAGTCTTATGCTAACAAGACCACCACTAGTCATATTGTAACAGAGAGACCACCACTAGTCTTATGTTAACAGAGACTACCACTAGTCTTATGTTAGCAAGGGCCACCACTAGTCTTATGCTAACAGAGATACCACTAGTCTTATGTTAACAGGGCCACCGCCTAGTCTTATGCTAACAGAGAGACCACCACTAGTCTTATGTTAACAGGGGCCACCACCTAGTCTTATGTTAACGAGAGACCACCACTAATCTTATGTTAACGAAGACCACCACTAGTCTTATGCTAACAGGAACCACCACTAGTCTTATGTTAGCCAGAGACCTATGTTAACAGAGACCACCACTAGTCTTATACTAACAAGAGACCACCACTAGTCTTATGCTAACAGGGGCCACCACTAGTCTTATGTTAACAGAGACTACCACTAGTCTTATGCTAACAGAGACCACCACTAGTCTTATGTTAACAGGGGCCACCACTAGTCTTAATACTTAACAGAGACCACCACTAGTCTTATGTTAGCAGAGACCACCACTAGTCTTATGTTAGAGAGACCACCACTAATGCTTATGTTGTAGAGACCACCACTAGTCTTATACTTAACAGAGACCACCACTAGTCTTATGTTAACAGGAACCACCACTAGTCTTATGCTAACCCAAGAGACTACCACTGATCTTGTATGTTAACGAGAGACCACCACTAGTCTTATGCTAACAGAGACCTGCCTAGTCTTATGCTAACAGAGACCACCACTAGTCTTATGCTAGCAGAGACCACCCATAGTCTTATGTTAACAGAGACCACCACTAGCCTTATGCTAACAAGAGACCACCACTAGTCTTGTGTTAACAGAGACCTGCCTAGTCTTATGCTAACAGAGACCACCACTAGTCTTATGCTAAGCAAAAGTACCACTAGTCTTATGTTGTAGGGGCCACCACTGAATCCACTTAATAACTGAAGAGACCACCACTAGTCTTATGTTAACAGAGACCACCACTAGTCTTATGTTAACAGAGACCACCACTAGTCTTATGCTAACAGAGACCACCACTAGTCTTATGTTAACAGAGACCACCGCTAGTCTTATGCTAACAGAGACCACCACTAGTCTTATGCTAATTGAGCCTCAGCTTATCTGCTACCCTTTATATTTCTTCTCCTTCCAATGTGCTGTCATTATTAGGTGTACATCATTGAATTAGTCATTGAGTATTTGACAGATTCTCTGAGTCTGATTGTGTTTTATTAAAACTTTTTTCGGTTCTATGTATTATTATATATACTGTATATGGCGGAAAGATTTGGTTGTCTTCTTGATGGATAAAATATTTTTAATTTACTATTATTTGTTATACAGTACTCCCGTGTTTTTCGCATTTTTTTTTATCACGGTTTTGACCATTCGCTTTTTTTTTTTACCAAAAATTTAAATACATATAAAATATCCGTTAAAAACAAAAATTAAAATTTCGTGTCATTTTCGATATTCCCGTGTGCGGTGCGGAAAACAGACGCCACCCTTTCCCGCCTCAGACACCCGTTTCTCTGAGAAGCCTCAGTCCACACATGCCTACTGTACTGTGAACGCTACTGTGACTGCGTGAGGGCGGGCAGACGCTGGGACAGCTGGGTGAAGCTGGCAATGCTGGTGTTGCCGACCTCAGTGAAATAAAAAAAATTTTATTTACTTGTAAATAATTTTTTTGGGTATATACAGTAAAGCCTCGAATAACGACGTTAATGTGTCCTTCAATATTGCAGTGTAAGGTGAATCATTGTATTGCGAATCATTAATTACCATTAAAATAAAGCAATAATAATGAGATGCGTTCCCAAGTGTGACCTTTTCATATCTTTTGTGTGTTTTATACCTACCCTCTTTTCCCCCCAAAACAATACAATTAATGAAAATTGCTAACTATATTCTTTAAATAATGTTTCTGAAAGCACCTTATGCAATATAAATGAATAATAATACGTTCACACAAGAGGAGATGGGACGCCATTGTTTTCATTTGTGTTTACAGCCGGGAGCCTGGGACGATAGTTCTACACGAGAAAATGAAGGAAATAAGACCCTGGTTGTAGCTGTAGTAAAATTAATGAAAAAAAAATTGAATATATATATATGTTTTAAGTAATGTTATTTAATGTTAATAAATGGAACAATAGAAGTAGCTAACCACTAATGGCAAAGAAAAAAAAAAGAGATGGATTGTGAACGCCAACATATACGTGCGCATTTAAGGATACCGCATCATTTATCTTTTTAAGAATATGTACAAAAGATTCATTATTGTTTATTACTGAATATGTACAGTATTTGATTGAATTAATCTTTATATATGCGAAATGAATAATACAATTCATTAATAACACTACATAGAATATTAAATCACACAAAAGGATAAGAGACGGCATTGTTGTCAGTGTTTACACCCATAATGTCAGTTATCCACCTGAAACTGAAGAAAATAAGACCCTGGAAGATGCGGAAGGCGAGCAAGCGCAAGGGGTTGACAGACGACTCTCCATGGTGACAGGCTAATGCGTACTAACTGCACTGAGCCCACCCACGCTACCCTGCGTGTGGCGTGACGCACAATAGTCACGCTGGAACATGATAACCTGTGCTGGGCATTCAAACAATGCCGCGAAAAGGCGTGCGTTTTGTAGCGATAACCGGGGTGTAGGGATTAAGCGTACTGCACTTTCTGGTTTTAAAACCCAGACCTTTGTGATTCTTTTAAAACTATTGCATTAAAGGATTTGACTATCCATCACCTGCATACCAGAGATCACATGAGTAACAGTTATTACAGGTTGTGTAGCCATGGGTACTTGGGTAGCCTTTGGTCTGTTCCTTTATATCTAGAACCAAGCATGAGATTAGTATTGTAGGATCACTCAAACTGGGGTTGCAAGTTGAACAGAGCGCATGGAGTTTGTTGGTACTGTACCTCTAACCTTCCTTTCTAGCTTGCCTTAGTATTCATAGTTACTTAATCCAGGTGTAAGGTTATAAGTTGAGAATTGATCCTAAAATTTCATTTCATAACCAAGTCTTAATTTGAGCAGCTTGACATCTTCCATACTTCCTTTGGTAAGTTAAGGTGCTGGATCTGGAGTTGTACCTCACTAAACCCATTTTACCTGATGTTAACAAACAAATGAACAAATCTTTGTGTAAACTTACAGAATTTTTTTTTTTTTTTTTTTTGGGTACTCATTGCCAAGTGGTTATAATTCAGGACCCTAATATGCAAATGAGGGATAATTTAATTCTTTAATTAATTTGATTTTTAAATCCCCAAAAGTTGAGACACTGGGACCTTGGTTTTACAATTATAGGCATGCTGGCTACACAAAGTTGATGAATCCAGACTAATTTATAAATAGATATGAAAAGATGTATATTTTGTACTCTCAATACTAGCGTTAGATCTTTGATATTTTGTATTTTCACCAATAGATCATTGGCTTCTTTTTCATAAATTTTCTTAGTCATAGGTGAAATTACAATACACAAAACCATACTATTTATAGTGTTATAGCTAATCTATTGTGACAGCATCCCAACGGGCCAAGATATCCAAATGGTTCAGTATGCCAGCATCCACCGAGCCACAGAGGCTCTTCGTACACTAAAGGGTCGTGAACATTCGCCTCATCCTTCCACTGCTACAACTACAACCCAAGCTGACACCCTAACTCGATCACGGACAGCTAGCCCTTCTTCCACTCTTCCTAGAAACTCAACGCTTAGGTAAGGATAGCAGTTAAGCTCATTTTTACAACATAGCTACTTACTGAGTACAGATATACCTCTCGCTATAATGGCTTTGGAAATTAAGAAAAATAATGAAAAAAAAGAAATTAATGGAATCCAACAAGAATGCATCACCATGATTGTTTTTTGTTTTTTTTTCAACCAATCAGAATGAAGTGCACAACTCAAAACATAACACACGTCTCCAGTCAGCTATGGCCTTTGAGATGGCTATGCGTGTTACCATTCTTACATATAATGAAACTATAAAAGTTATAGGAAAAACATTTCAGTATATGTACAGTATAACAAAATGTCGGAATCTGCATGCAATAGTTTCATAGCTACAACACATGAAAGAGAGTGAGGTTAGAGTGAAACAGCCACAGATTTGTGTAATTTTATGCACATAGATCTGTAGAAGATGCAGCTCCGTTATTACTTAGAGTAAATATTAAGAATTTCCTCCACCTGCCTTGGTATCACAGTATTTAAAGCTGTGATACCACTCCATAATAATAGATTTTTATTGTGTTTTTTTTCCTTCAGTTCCTCAACAAAACTATGCAGATTCCAACATTTTGTAATATGAACTTTGTGGTTTAGAATTGTCCCAGGAATACACCCTGCCATTTTACGTACAGTCGGGGTCAAAAGTTCTCTCCCTCCCGAAATGAAGCAGTGTCGACCCCAGATGAGATGAACCAGCACAACCGCAGCCAGGTTAAGTAAGTTCGGAGACTCATTCATCAAAGGGAAAGAAGTTTTGTTCGCGACTACAACTTTGTGAATAATCCTCTGTGTGTGTGTGTGTGTGTGTGCGTGTGCGTGCATGCATGCGTGCGTGCGTGCGTGCGTGCGTGCGTGCGTGCGTGCTAATAAAAATAATAATAATAAACGGTTTATTGAAAAAGTTTGCAGCCCGAAGGCTGAAAATATACATTGGACATAAATGACTTATTACATACATTGGTGGTTTAACAAAAGCCTTCATTAGAGAAAGGTGAAGGAACATATACAGTGAACATACAGATTAATGTTTACACACGTAGATCATGTGAGCTGAGGTGTTGAACAGCAGACACGTAGTGTAGTAACTCCCTCACAGATGGCGTTATGAGGGGCATCACGTGGAGTACTAGTTCCCCCACAGGTGGTGTTATGAGGGGCTTGGCATGGTGTAGTAATTCCCTCACAGATGGTGTTACGAAGGGCCTGATGATGTAGTAATTCCCTCACAGATGGTGTTACGAAGGGCCTGATGATGTAGTAGTTCCCTCACAGATGGTGTATGAGGGGCCTGATGATGTAGTAATTCCCTCACAGATAGTGTTACGAAGGGCCTGATGATGTAGTAGTTCCCTCACAGATGGTGTTATGAGGGGCCTGATAATGTAGTAATTCCCTCACAGATGGTGTTATGAGGGGCCTGATGTGGTGTAGTACTTCCCTCACAGATGGTGTTATGAGGGGCCTGATGTGGTGTAGTAATTCCCTCACAGATGGTGTTATGAGGGGCCTGATGTGGTGTAGTAATTCCCTCACAGAGGGTGTTATAAGGGGCATCACATGGCTTAGTAATTCCCTCACGGATGGTGTTATGAGGGGCATCACGTGGTGCAGTAATTCCCTCGCAGGTATTATGAGAAACTTCACATGATGCTGTAGCAACTCATTCACTGTGCGGTGTCGTGCATAATGGGGACACCACGTGGTCCGTTGTCACAGGAATTCACTCACTCAAGTGGGTGAGGTGTGGTCCCAGGCCTTTCTATCGTGGAGTCTCAGGGGAATTATCACTGGGTACCTGGGACCTCACTGTGTGAAGGTTAGCTTGGCTCAGACTCAACTGCCGAGTTGTTTTTCACTGACTTAAGCACTGTTCACCACTATTTAACACTGGTTCCATTCCTTTCCCAAATGAAATAGTAACTTCTGGCGAGAACTTGTTGGTATTCCGGTGGGGAGGAGGGTTCAGGGGAGGGAGTTGGTATGGGCTAACATAACAGTTGACTTGGCTGCTGCTGAGCAGCGTCAGGTGCGTCTGACCCGTCGGTGGTCAAGGATGAAGTGTGTGTGTGAGAGATATTAATGGTTTATTGAGAAAGTTCTGCAGCCCGAAGGCTGAATTATACATTAGACAAAAATGACTTATTACATACAAAGACATGGGGTGGGTGGGTTGTTTAACAAAAGCTTTCATTACTGAAAAGAGAAGGAACATGAATTGAACATACAAATTTTTATAGCTTGCAGCTGATGGCCCGGGCTGGTCTCTTGCCATATTGTGAGGTCACATGGCCTTGAGGTGCAGTAACTCGTCCGTAGGTGTTGCTATGAAGGACCTCACGGGGTCATGGAGACACCGAGTGGAGTGGTGTTGACGTGGTTCAGTAACTCGTCCATAGGTGTTAATATAAAGGACCTCATGTGGTCATGGGTACACTGGGTGGTGTGGGGTGGTGTCACAGTACCTCACTCTGCTGGGTGGTGCTGTTTTATCTAGGAGTCAGGTGTGAAGCGGATCCACTGTTGTTCCCAGGGTGGACTGATTAGCACCTGGTCAGAAGATGGTGGTCAGTTCCCAGGGGTGCTTATCCCACTGGTGGGTCACAGCTCTCACTGGTACTGAATTCACTGGCTTAAACACTGTTCATCATTGTTCAACACTGATCCCACTTCTTTCCGAAAAGAAATTGTCACTTTTGATTATGTTGATATCCCGGTGGTGAGGATGGTCGGGGAGAGGGACTTAAGGAATGGGCCGAACATGGCCAAGGGAGGCCGCTGCTCAGCAGCGCCTGGTAGGTCTTGACCCTCCGGTGGTCAAGGATGTGTGTGTGTGTGTGTGTGCGCGTGTGTGCGTGTGTGACTGCGTTATTGCATAGTAGCTACAAAGAAAGGGATTGATGAGAGAAAGATTGAGAACTGCCACCCTAGACTTCATTGCTAAATACATTTGTCTCTACTAACCATAAAATGGGATTTACAGTGTCAGTCCTTGATTTTAATTATATATTCCTAACAAAGGTAGTTTCACATGATTCATTCTTATCAAAGGTAGTACTGTACAACACTAGAAGATGTTTTGTGAGTTTCAAGGCTAAAGTCTTAATTGTATTACTTCCATTATACTTTTAATTATTTTTAGGATTACAGTACTGTACTTTTATATTCCTTCATTCTGGAATCAAAGGCATTTTGTCTTATTAACTCTCCTCCTTTAGTTGACAACCTTTCTTCCCTTTCTCTTTGCTGCAATGTTGCTTTACTCTCTCTCTCTCTTTTACAGGTACTTTAACGGGCAATGTTCGGTGGATTTGGCATCCTGTGTACCGCCGGCAAGGCCTTGGGCTTGTAACACACATCTTGCCCGCTCTGCCTTCTTCTGTGTTTCCATACTTATACAATCTGTCTCACTTTAAAAGGCTGGTTTTCCGGCATTTTCCTGGTGTAGATTAGCACAGTAGTGTATAACTTTTTCTTCTGTAATTTTAATTTCTTTCTGTTCTTATTTTTTTGCTCCCTAGGTCCCGTTGTGGGTCGTTCGACCCGTGCCCGGGTGGGCTAATTCCCGTAAAAAAAAATAATAATAATATTCTGTATCTCAAAGCTAATAATGATGTCTTTTACAGCAGCCGACGTTTTGAAGACTATGCCACATTGTCTCGGCCAGATCCACCGCCATATCAGAGGAAGTAAGTTTAGCTCTAGGGTTTCCTTCATTGGTAGAAAATTATTTAAATATACCAGCATTATATAACTCAGTCAGCAGAAGTAGAATAGGACAGTACTTTTTACATAATGGATGGATTTATATACAGCATATACTGTATATATTTTTCATCATGACTGCTATGAATCATCCCTGAGTTATCGCTGAATTACATTCCTGTACTCTGGTCATGAGTCGGTTAGTTCGTGAATCAAAATCATGTTAATTTCTAATTAAAATATGAATAAAACCCATCCATATGTGTAAAATTATAATAATTAGTGCTCGGCATGAGTCTGAGCGTGAGGCAATTGTTTAGAAATTCATTCAAATACCCGGAACGGAGAAATTTTTCTCAGAACGCAAAAATTTTTTTTTACAGGTACGTGATGGAAAGTTCTGTAGAACAAAGATTCCGGTTAATGAGGAAATTACTGTACTGTACTAGATTTTGTTCTGTGTTAACTGGGGGAACAAATCCTCTAACCTTCAGGATATTTGTTCATACAGGGAGTTCTGCTATAACGCGTGTTTTGATAACGTGAATTTGCTCTAACGCGATTTATGAATTCGGAACAATATTTGTATAACGCGAACGCTTGTTTGCTATAACGCGATTTTTGCTTACTATTTCTCCAATTTTGTGGTATTAACTGTGAATATGGTAAAGAAGAATATCTCCAAAAGGCGCTCTGATGATAGAATTCCCGGTGATTATCGTAAAAGAAAGGATATAACACTTGAAGAGAAGCTCAATGTTATCAACCTCAAAATCACCCTTCTCCCCCATCAAGTTACATTCATATTTTTTCAAGGTAAAGTGTTAAATTTACTGTATGATTTCATTATTAGATATGAATGTAACATTTATTTAGACTGTGCTATCCTTTGTGTTAGGCTAAATACTAAATTTTTTCGATTTCGAGTAATCTGCACCTAACCCTATTTTCTCCATAAGCCCTGTTATTTCTATTACGCGATTTTCTATAACACGATATTTTACAAGAACACAATTATCGCGTTATAGCAGAACTACCTGTACTTTATTTCTTAATTTATGTACAGTATACAATAAACCCTCCCAATAATGGACTAATTTGTTCAAGCTTTTTCTGTTATTGGGAGATCTCTGTTAATGGGTGGGTTTCCTTTTCTTTTCACTCCTGACCATCAAAAAGGCACATATTTTATGGTAATGAATATTGTGCAGTACAGGGGGCCCCCTAAATTCGCGGATTTTTATTTCGCGGTCCTCTATTATTCGCGGATGACACTGGATGTACCCAAGAATGTCTGTGAATAGTTTTAAAGCTGCCGTCAGTTTTGCTGCTGGGACAGGCAGCCATTCGTTCTAGAGATAGTAATTTCCTTTACCTGTATTGTAAATACATTCTACCCTCAAGTCCGTGCTTTATTACTTTATTAATAAAGCACGAACTTGAGGGTAGACTCACATTTTTTAATACATTTTTTCTAATTATTTGTGAGAGTATTTTCCCATTATTATTTATTTGTGTGTGCGTCTACACATGCATACATATATACAATACGGGTAAAAGAAATAATTGTCCTAAGGTCAAACATACAAAGGGAATATACATTTCTTTGTACGCAAGTAAAAATGTACACCCTTCTCCGGTCAGCAAATGTTATTTGCGGATCTAGCAATTCGCGGTCATTTTGAGAACCTAACCCCCGCAAATATGGGGGCCCCTGTTCTATAAAAGTTCAGCCTACCTTAGTTATTTTCTCTAAACATATATACTGTATTAGTAAAACGATAAATTAATATTTTAAATTATGTCATTTCAAATTAGCATTGTTTTGAAAAATTTAAATTTGCACACCTCTGTGAGTCACCACTTTGAGTAATAATAATAACAGCTGGTCTTTTGTTTCTCAAAAATGCTGGATGATTGATGTACTGTACTGTACTATATTTGTATGTTAGTCATAATATAGTATAAAATGTTTTTCTTACTTCTAGTGGAACAACACCAACACGTTGAAGATGTATGGCAACCTTCCAAAGGTACAGTTTCAAGTATTTTTACAGTATACAGTAGTTCAAAATTTTTATAAAAAATCCATGAGAATTCTGTTAGTCTAAATTTTTAAATAAAAAGTGATTCTGATTAGCTTAGACTTTTCTAAAAAAAAATTTGTTAAGTGTAGTAATTCCTTACCAACTGTGGGGCTTGCATTCTATATTTTTTGTATGATTGGCAAGACCGTGGATGGCAGGGTCTTGGTGTAATAGGAAATAATAGGGGTTTGAGGAAGTGACCCCTGAAAGCCATACCTAAATTTCTATAATGTACAGCTCAAGGTTAAAAATAAATACAGGCTGTATGTTACACTGTACTTAAAAAACTACAGGTTATTCCCACTTTATAACTCAGCACATATGGGGTTCTGGCCTTGCTGAGTTATCCCAAATTCTGACTTATCGAGGCACTTCCCCCTCCCACAAAAATACAACAATAAAAATTTATCGATCCATATACCTATACAGTACATGTAATTACTAAATGTAAAAAAGTAACACTTACCAGCACTGCAGGTGACGAATGAAGAGTCATAGTAGGTGATACAGATGCATGGTAGGTGATGCAGGTGGCCAGATATGCCGAGATTTTCCCAGATAATTTTATATACAGGTATCTCGACATTTCCCGAGCTATACTAATACATTCCGAGACCATATCCATGCCGAGTTACCGGTATATGAAATTCCGAGTTATCAAATGCCCAGTTATCGACGGTTTACTGAGTTTGCACAATATGAAGTTCCCATTACTACAAGAAACCAAGTGATTTTTTTTTTCTTGGCACAAAATTGTTCCAGGTTTAATATGAGCTGCAGCATCATCTTGTTAGTCCGCCTCCTATGGCTGCCACCTCAGTATACTTGTAACTATCCTCTCACGCATATTGTAGTGACTAGGTGTAATTCAAGATTACTTTCTTTAAATCAACACTGCACTGTGCTATACAGGTATATTATCAATATGTTAAATAAATTTCAGAATGACCAATAATTGTACTTTAAAAACGTAAAAATACTCTGTGTTCAAGAGAGCCACAAGCAAGATGTTTCCTCCACTGAACAGAGACACAAACAGACGCCTTGGTGGGTGAGTGAAGTGGCTGATGGGCGCACCAAAAACTAGTTCTCTGTACTGCAATTATGTTAAATAAGTGTTAAAATGACTAATAATTTTAATTTAAAACTTGGAAAAATATTGAATAGCACAACCTTCTTGATATTTACTCCAATGGGAAAGAATGTAAGCCCTAGAACCGATTACTGTATTGGCGGACTAACCTACCAGCTGATGAGCAAGCCAAAACATGTTGATATGTTTTTGTAAGAATTTTGTTAATCGAATTTTTGTTCGTTAACCGAATTGAAGAATCTTATGGAAAGTAATTCGTTAACCGAGGGACCACTGTAAAACCAATGCATTTCATTTTGAATAAGGTAAATGGATATCTGCAGAGGTGAGCAAGTATAGCAGCATTTGCCCACCCCTGTATTGCATTCAGAATTGTGTTGCTGGAAATTTGGTTAGTTTTACTTTCATTTAATGTTCCTCAGAACACTCTGTTGGTGTGAATAATCCAGATTAATGTGTAAAATTTCAGGAAAAAAGAGAGGTTACTGGTGTACTACATTGCCAAATGAAAGTTTCTCATTACAGTATTTCAACCCATTGATTTTAAGTTAATACTGGACTGTATTTAAGGTTACTGATTCTGGTCTATTTAAGTGTCAAATATTCAAATTGGGTTTAACATCATGATTTTTCAATTGAAGGGAAATATATTTTACTCATTTCCAAAAAAATTAATTTGAATTTTCAAATAAAAGTGCAGGATTGTAATATACAATAATTTTGTAATTAATGGATATTTCTATATATTTCCAGTTTTGATGTGACTATTTCTTCTCAAAGGTTTGTACATCAGAAGGAATAATAATGTTGAAGATTTTTTTATGGTTTTTCATCTTTCAGTAATTGTATGAAGCAATTTAAAGATTTTTTTTTAAACACATGGAATTTAAAAAGTCTTATTCCATAGTACAGTATCTAAATTCAAATTGTGTTGATTGAAAAGTTATATATACGTTTGATATGTAGATATATTACAGTACAGTACTGTATATAGAACTGGTATTGCACTGCATTACAGGTATGGGACTCTTTATCCAGTGTCTCAATATCCGAAACACTAAAAAAACCCTGCTATTTTCTGGAACTATTTATTTAAAAGGAGTGCAAAGTAATTCCCAGGACAAGTGGGTAAATTTCTAACTGTTCCCCATCTGTGAGCTGTATGTTATGGTATTATTTTTTTAACTCTTAATTTGGGGTTGATGTATATGATTTTCTTCGTTAATTTTACTAATTTTCATGCGCACAAACAATCCTACAATACATAAAGTGCAAAAATAAAGGAAATACTTATAAGGTATATAGTTTTAAGTATCTATGGGTTTCCACCGTGAAGCTGTATGTGGAGGTTGGAGGGTCTGTAGTGGAGCACCGTTGCTAGAGGCGACTGCGTCACAGTTTGTACATTAACTTGTATAAGGTTTGCTCTTTTTATGCTTTAATTCTTGTTATTTATATATTTTTTGTTTTTGATGTATATTTGCCTACAATTTTAAGTTTTAATGTTACTGTACTGTGTACAGTTAAAGCTGCTTTTAGGGGTGAATTTAGTTATCAGAACAGAGGCTTCACAGTCAGTTACAAAGGCTTTACTGTACATTTTGTGCATTTTAGACTTGGTACTCCAAATTCAACAAGAAACCTTATCTGGCAGCCCCAAGCTTACTGGATAAATGATCCCATACCTGTGTGTTGCTTTTTTTAGGCAAGATGATATAAAATTAAAGGGTGTTACTGTATTTAAAAGTGCATGAGAAAGTAAATATTTAAATATTTTGTTTAATAATGTCATTTATGAACTACCGGTATAGGTGATACATGTAGATTTTTTTGTATTTACTGGGTAATATGAATGAAGTAATGAGGCAAATATGTTGTATAAAATGAAGGCTGCATGTAACACAAATTTTCATGTGAAGGCATTATAAGATTTCAGGAATAACCTGAAGTATCTCCACCCCAGCTTATTTCACCGACAGATCAACCACACTAACGGTAATCTAAACCAACCCAACCCCACCCCCACCCCATCCTCTCGAGGTGAAATAAGTTGGGGTGGAGATTTTTCAGGTGATCTGATCATGGTAATGTATGAATTTACTAAACTGTATGGTACCTACCTTGAAAAAAAAGGTACATTGTCATACTGTAATAATGAAGGAAGCACAAAATATTACAGTGTGGAAATTAACTCTCGTGCAGCACCTTATTCGTAACATCAGTTGTGACTTTCTGGTGTGGAAGAGCTGCATTGTATCTTTTTATATCTTTGGATCAATTATTTGGCACTTTTTTTTTCCATATGAAACCAACACATTTTACATAAAATTGTTTGCTCTTTCACATAAAACGATAAAACAAATTAAGAAAGAAAAAATATTTTTGATGTGAAGTTATGCATTACTCTATTAGTTTTCAACACAATCAACTTGTATTTTATCCAACAAAGTACCTAGTAAAGAGAATTACCGGTAGTGTTTTACACAAAAAAAGGAAAATTTTAAGCTTTACATTGGTGAAATCAGAAAATGTATATGGATAATAATAAGGTTGATAAAATTGAAAAAGAAAGAAAAGGAATATTTGGAATTTGTTCCAAAATGATTCACTTTTTTAGTTTTAGTAATTACTTTTATATATATTTTTCTTTTCTGTTATTCCATTGGTAGTATAATTATCTACATATGTTATGGTGGGTTCAGAATTTTGCTAGTATGTGTATACATATGGCTTGGCTGTAAAAAAAATTTAGAATAAATAACCCATCCCCAGTAGTTCACACACAAACAATGGTTACAAGTTTGGATAAGTAAAATGTTTAGAAAAAAAAGAGCAAGTAGAAACTAATAATTACTTTGCAAGCAATTTTATAGGCGATTATTACTGCACAGTGTGGGGCAGGGGTGTGTGAGAGGGACAATAAGAGGAAATTTAAAGGGAAAGTATGCAGCACAAGTATGGCGTGACTGCTGAGATACTACTGAAGTGCTCAGGCTTTGCACTTGGAGGAGTTTCCATGTATCTAATTAGTCTTGAATTACCATGAGAGCCAAACTCTCAAGTGTCAATCGTAATTACTGTATAGGTACTGGTTTTTTGATGATTTTTTTCTTTTGAGTGATGTGAAAAAGACAATTGGACGAGACTTAAAATTGATGCAGATATCTAGTCATGGTGAGTGAGTGTTAATGTTTAATGTTGCCTCTAGATTTAGATTTTTAAGATAATTGTATTAATAATTTTAAGGGTTTGAATGGTTGATGATAACTCTCTTTTATTAGTAAACCGTATACCATTTAGCATAATTTGAAAGCAGATCATGGGAGTATTAATAATGTAAATCTCTCCCAATCTGTGATTGTAAATACTGTATAATTACATGTGAAATCTCAGAAAATACCTTTACCAGAATGGTCAATGAGAGCATAGTAAATGGAATGTGACCACTTAATAAATACTGTACTGCATATTGAATTACAGTAAACCCTCGCCAACTCAGACCCTTTTATCTCGGACCCCGCGATTTTCTGACAGGAGGTCGTCCCCGGACACTTTTTCATACATATTGAACAATATCCAAAATGGATGGGCAACCACAAATCCCCCCATAAGTTCTAGAAACTTCCCTAAGATTCTTGAAGGTTCCCAAGTCCCAACGTATGCCACATGGGTGGCCTCCCAGGTTGTGTAGAATGAGGTGAAGTGGATATGATGTGGGTGTGAAGTGGAGACGATGTGGCTGTTTAGTAGAGATGATGTGGTTTTTTAATACTGTACTGTATACGGTAGTTCATTCAATCAGTTTTTTAAGGATTAATAAATAAATATCAAATGAAGACAGTTGATACACTAATGAAAACATGGATTCCCTTGTTATCAATAAATGTCAACACGAGTGGCGCGTCATCTGCTGATCATGTGGATACTGTGGCCGCATCACATGTTCTTACTCAGTTACTCTCCAGATGATATGGATGGATGACAATACATTGTGTACAATGAAGTAAACATATTACCTTATTCAAACTGCCCATTCCTCCCAATTAGTCCAAGTTGACGAGGTTTTACTGTACAGTATATGAAAGCTGTACAGTAATAGATAGCATTTACCAACTGAAATGTTCTCACAACCTTTGGTTTTTGTATTTAGGGTCACGAAGGAGCATGTTGAAGAGAAAATATTACATGATACTGTACTGTTAACAAATATTTATCAGAGTTTTAAAGTTGTACTGTAGTGTATATTGTTGGAAATATTATTATATGTTGTGACTAAATATTGAATATTCAATATTGAAACGGTTTATTTAGACAGAAAAATAGATACTGAGTTGATAATTTTAACAATATTGTCATGGCTGATCCAATTGAGAGCCTGAGTTCTCTTAGTGGCACCTGATATATACTGAACATTTATCTCAAGGAAGTATTATGTAACATTTAGTATCATCTGGAATAGTACACGTAACATTATGTTAGTAAGAGCATATCAGAATGTTACCACGATTATCACTTCATTATTTATTTTATTTTATTTTTTTACATTTATATTATAAGTACCTGTATATACATATTTTACATTGGAGTTGATATACATTAATGTGATCAACATTTCGAAGTTGAGCTTTGTTGGCAAAATTTATACCCCCAAAATATATACTGTATAATATATATACTTATATTAACCATTCTGAAATTATGTAGGACAGTCTGCAGATTAATTGTTTGTTGTAGGAAGTACAGTATAGATTCAGTGTTGTGGCATTGTGTGTTTTAAGCAAAATTATTGTATAACATACAGTACAAGTATGTGATTTGTTGTTTTGATGTTGTTTGGTCGTAGCATATTTATTGTACTGTACTGCACACTCCACAAACCTACAGTTCATTTATATAATATGTTACAGGGAAAATTATTTAATGGGATTTGTAATAGTGATGAGAATGTGTATGATAATCCCTAAATGAAGATAAAGATGACTTTGCAGTTCAGCAGTAAAGTAATGTAATAGGTTTTAAATTTTGGTAGCAAAATTGATTTTTAATTTTTTGTTTTAGATAATTAAACTAAGGTGATACAATTTATTGTTGTAGATTTAAAGTTTCAAGTGTGACATCTGAGAAAATAACAGATTTTAGCAAAATTGGTTACCAGTGTCTTATAATCCCAACCAGAAGAAGGTTCCACATTAAAGAAAATTTAATGATGCATGGTGGAAGTGTATGGCATATACCACCTCAACAAGGCAGGACAAGGAGTTCAAACTGTGGGATGTTGATGGAAATGCTGGAGTCACTGGATGCTTTGGTGAGGCAATGCTCTAGTTGTAGTAATCTTACAACAGCAGTAGGAACCAGAAAAGAAGCACTGGAGTTTTGGAACATCAGTATCGAATGCAAGGAATGTGGGAAGTTGCTGGGAATACTGGAGTCATATGACACTCAGGGAGATAGTGCTGGAGTTCTTGGTGTACTGAGGACTGAGAGGAAGTCATAGGACATTGGTGGGGCCATGCTGGATTTGTGAGATGTCAGGGATGCAGTGATGGAGACATCAGCTGCTTCAATTCTGAAGTTGTAGCCCTGGAGTCTTGGGAGGAGCAGAGGCTTGGCTAAAGAGAGTGCGGGGGAGAAGAGAAGAGAAGAGAGGGACAGAGAGAGTGCCTTTGAGCAGTGGAGGGAGAGTGAGAGCCTGTACTGGTCTTATATAGGCAGCCAGTCTAGACATGTGAATTGAGCAACCTCCCTAAAGGTCAAATGGGACCTCTGGGAATATCCCAGTCATCCCATCAGTGGAGGTGCTAGTGAAAGGTGCTAACAGCACCTTATTACTGTGTAATAATTTGTGCTGCCGAGCACCAGAGAAGGAGTCCTGGTAAATAGTATTTTGGGTCACTGTTGAGATGCACCTTGGTACCGACTGAACCAGCTTTTAGAATTTTCTGATCTGGGTCCTAGGTCATCCATGTTTCAGGATGAACTGTGTCATGTCACCCAGAGGATGGTTTGCATGTGAAAGAAGCTATTCTTTGTAAATATAAAAAAAGTGGGGGGGGATATATACTGCACCAGTAAATATTAGCAATAAATAAAAATAATAAGTATAAAATGAAAAAATATTGTGTTGTCATTTGGCAAGCTGGTCACTACTCACGAGACAAATCTGGTTTCCTAATTTCTAATGAACATACTACAGTACTGTATATTGTTTTTTATCATAGGGACATTTATCAGTGATAAGATATTTACTTGATCAATTTTATTTTCAGGCTTTCGTGACATTAACTGAAAAGTGCCCTGGCACTGTCATGATGGCTACTATTTTGTGGTACTGTAGTTAGAGTTTCTATAATCAATAGGATATGGTAACCATCCTAGAAAACTGTATTGTAGTACAGATATAATATACCAAACAAAATGCTAAGTGACTGCTCATAAAATTTTAAATACCTATCATACCTAATAAATCTGGAGGTCTAAATGATTTGCCACATCAAGTAGTTCTGACCTGTGAATAACCATACACATTGTGTTCAAGAAGTAAGAGTTAATTTGGGCATGTGGAGAGAATGGATGAGATCAAGGTCAAGAGATGCAAGTCTAATTGTAGAGGGGAGAGCCAGGGGCAGGCCAAGAATGACAAGGTGAGAGGTTGTAAGAAATGACATTAGAGTTAAGAGCCGGACAAGAGAGACTACAAAGGTCTATTCAGCATGGAGAGCTGCCAGCATGTAATCGCAGCTAACCTATGCAAGTGTGGAAAATGGCCTTAAAACATTGATGATGCCATTTTTTTAACTTTTTCTGTTCCCATTTCTTATTAAATATCATAGTTTCACTGGAAATTAAACCATCACTGATAACAACAATGACTTTTACTAAGATAAATTACAGTTTTCAGTAAAGTGACATTGTTTCTATAATTGGCAAAAACATTTTAAGCTGAATATACTGTACTATGAATACCTGTTTATAAATGTATAAAATTTAAGAGTATTCTCATTTACATTCTACTGAAATTCATGCAACTCATAACAATACAAAATTTTTTAAATACCTAAGAACATTATGCAACTTCAAATTCTTGTAAATACCCTGTACTGTACTGTCTTACTCTCTTCTATACATTGCACACATTGTCATATAAGCATACAGTACTGATTTATTTGTTAAATCTGATGAAAAGGATCCTGAACACACAGAATTATGAAAAGAAATATTGTAATAAATTTTTATTTAACTTAAAAATGAAAGACAAACATGAATTCCTATTTTATAACCATAGGGAGAAGACTAGGGACCTATGAGATACTTCCGCTAGAACACTACTGTCAGGATATATCATTGCTTGGGTGAAAGATATTCTGATGACAGGCTACACAATCCTGATTGTTCTGTGTAAATTGACACATAATTGCACCTTTTCTTGTGAATCAGGGATAAAACAAGGTTGAAGTCCTAGCTCAATGGTTGAAACCCTGAGATAGGTTCCTGCCTTGTCCCGAACCACTTAGTTATATATGTATAGGATGGAGTCTTATTTAGAACCCCATCAAATGAGAGGGGTGGAACATTTGGTTACTCATATTCAGGGAATCAATTTTAAATTTTAAATTTATAATCTACAGCTCATCATCAAGTTAACAATGAGATCCCAGCTCAGAAAAAATGAAACAGATTAAGTCATTGTGAGATGAGCCCTAAGAAGAAAACAACCCCCAAAAAACAACAGAGGACAAACTGATGCAATGGTCAGGAAGACAACCTCTACATCCACCAGAGCGACCCCGGGTGACATTCCTCTACATCCTTAATTTTCGCTGCATAGTTTGAATATCCAGGTGGGACAGAGTAATTTGTATAGAATATTTATTTACTTGGCAATTCAACTCGCACGTAATCTTTGTCTCAAGTCTAGTGGTCCAGTTACCCCCACCTATCATGATGGATGCACGTCCTTTGACGTCTCGTGACCCACCTTGCTCCTCCACACCTTCGATAGTAGTGCTATTCATCAATTGTTACTGGATTTGAGTGGAATTGATATGGACAGGAAACAGACCCAAATGATGTCGACTTTGTTGAGGTGGCCAGCGGTAAGGACTGTGACGTAGACAATGGCGCTCATTCTCCCTCCCAACCCTGCCAGCTAACCCCTCAGCAAGGTTGTGGGTGCTGTGATGGCCGTCAATGTATGGGACGACGTGCACACCAAGAACAACAGTATGCTTGGAGTGACTGCGTTAATTTTATGTCTTGACTGTGGATTTAAAAAAGAAAAGAAAAAGGTCTCCCAGGGCATAAGGGTTAAAACCAACCATAACATCTAAATTGCCAAGTACTTCCCAGTGCCACACATTACAGTTTTGCTAATTATAGATGCCAGGGATTGAATTCTTAGAAAAGCCGGTGTAAACAAATAAATGAGTCCTCATTTAACATCTATCCAAACAACATCATTTCATTATTATATTGATAATCTTTGCATCATGTAAAGTCTTTTGGTGTGGACTACTTTGCTACATACACTGTAAATCATGAGATAGCTCACAGAGGGCATGATGCTTAGCTGCAACATTCAACCTACTTTAAACCTTTGTCAGATGTTTGCCTGGTGCCAATGTTAATGCTGTTTTATGTATACATGTGAGCCCTTAAAACACTATTTGTGTGTTTTTCAGTCGTATGCAAGATCATTTAGCTTGAGATCTCCCTATGGAGATTGCCCATGTTTTCCTTTCAAGAAGCATAGTGAATCCTCAAGGCATGAGCAGTGCTCACGGATATTACTGGAATTATTGTGAGCCTTAAGGATAAATCAATGTTGACTATTAACATAAGTGCAATTACAAATACCCCCTCCCCTGTATGTTGCAATGCTTCTAGCATAGTCAAAAAAATAATCATCATACATATATGATGAATTTTGCTGATTGACAAAGATGGATATGGTGTTTAGACACTCATACTCTACCTCAAAAAATATGATGCTTCACGTTTGTTTACCCAAATCAGACCACCAAATTTGAAACCCATCTACAGACGACACCACAGGAAATCTCATTCAAGCCTCAAGGTATGTTAATCTCAGTTGTATTTCCTATAGATAAATGAGTATTTGATGAGGCTAGTTCAAACAAAAATAGAACAGCAAATTGCTTCCCATTAGAATATTTTGTATATTCATGAATCTAGTGTGAATATAGAGGAAGGTCTTGCTATAGAAATATCCCTTCAGTTTTGTTGATGTCTTTAGGCCTACTCTAATCTAACACATGTTGAACTCACTTGCTACTAATACAGAAGATACAGTTGATAATTCTATTGATTTAGTATATATCTTTAGTTTATTTTTATTGACCATAACTAACATTGCAGTATGGGTTGTTTGACACACTACAGGAAGATTTCTCTTTAGTTGTCAATATTTTTACTGGCGATTTATTAATCAGATAGTATATCCAAAATTAATAAAATATCAATATTGTACAGTCAACCCTCACTTTACGCGGTCCCACATTCCGCGTTTCCACGGTGCCCTGCCAGAACCCAGGATGCTCACATTCCGCGGTGGGTGTACCCCTTTACGCTGGTGAAGTATAATTTTTTATTTAGCTCATAAAATTCATACAAATTATCTGGCCAGAATATAATTTACATTGCTGGAATTCTTACAATTTGATGATCATTTTGAATATAAACATCATAGATTTTGCATTAGACATACAAATTTTAGATACAATGTTTACTCTGAGTAAATATGTTATCTTTTGTGCAAAATATATGACATTTATATTCAAAATATTCCTGGTCTTACAAGGAATCCAGCAATGTCAATTATATTATCCTAACTTTAGTTTGAGGTATTATTTATTACTATACCTGGTTTTCCCCAAAAAATTTCTCAGAGAGGGAAGAGCCAGCGAGTGTAGTGTGAGAAGAGGGGGAGGGAGTTGAGTCCATTATTTGAATGGACATTAACTTGGCGACTGTATTTCTCTATTTCTCTTAAGTATTAATTGTGTGCATGTACCATCATAAAATTAAGATGTTATTTTTACTAGAACATAGGTATTGTGTTGGAAAAAGTGGAGTTTGGGGGTCAGCTGGTCTCTATTTCATTTAATCCCATATGTTATGTTATTCACTTTACGCGTTTCTCACTTTCCGCGGTATCCTGTGGGTTACATTAACCGCGCAAAGTGAGGGTTGACTGTACTTACATTATATTATTGTAGGTCAGGGTTCAATACTTGTACAGGTAGTATATTAGCCTAGGTCAGAGTTCAATACTTGTACAGTCCGGCATTCTTTAGTCCGGAAACTCCCGTGGTCCAGAACGATTTTAGTTTGCCCATGGAGAAAATTAATTTAAGTCTGATACTTTCAATGTTTGGCTAAATTTTGCCTTATTTACCCTACTTTTTTGGCGAATTACTACCTGTAATAAAGCAACATCCTAATAAACCAACGAAAATAACACAGATAAAGTTAAATAAAAACTAAAAACAACACAGAAAAAGTTATTACGTTCTACAGCTTTAGCTAGAGTTGAACCTGTTGACTCGTCATCTGAGTAAAAGCACAAACAACAACATTGGCTGTCCTTATGTTTTCGACTTTACCACCACTGGTGAGTAGAAATTTTGTTTTAAATTCAGAAACATTAATTAAAATATATATGAACAGTAAAGAAGTGTTGCTTTCATATTCTTATGTTGAGTAATGACGATATGTTTTCACATGTGCACACTTACATACGCGCAGTCTCACGTTTTTTCTTTACCATTAATGGTTAGCTACTTTTATTGTTCCATTTATTAACATTAAATAACATTACTTAAAACAACCATATTAACTTTTTACATTAATTTTAATACAGCTACAACCAGGGTCTTATTTTCTTCAGTTTTATATGTAGAACCAGTCAGTCACTGGTTTTAATATTCTATGTATTATTAATGAATTGTATTGTTCATTTTGCACACATAAACATTAATTCAATCAAAAAGACATTCAGTAATAAACAATAATGTATCTTTTGTACATAAAAGAAATGACGCTGTTTACACAATTTGTGCACGTCTGAACGTTGGCGGGCCGCTCAAACCCGTCGAAATTCGAGTTTCCGCCGTCAAAATTTTAAATCGTGTACTGTAGTTTTTTTTGGGTGTCCAAATAAAAAACATTGAATTGAAAACTCGCAAAATTTGAGAACCTACTGTACAACATTTAACCCTTCAATATGTCTTCAAAGAGACCATGAAGCAGTGAAAGTGGTGTTAGTGCTTCAAAGTGTAAGCACAAGTCACTATCTATCCAGGAAAAGGGTGAATTTCCATGGTCCGGCACCGGTCAGGTCCCGAGGTTGCCGGACTAGAGAGGTACAACCTGTATCATATTAGCCTAGGTCGGGGTTCAATACAGTACAGTACTTGTAGCATATCAGCCTTGGTCAGGGTTGAGTTAATACTGGTGCTGAAGTCTTCACTCTACCTCACACTCACATGTGAACTGATTCATCACCAGTATATAAGATTTGTACTTTGTACAAAAGGTTGTTGCTGACTAAGTATGTGCAGGTAATCATGTGGTTTCAATAAGGCTAGAAAAAATCAACAAGAAACTCAACATGAGTGATGTATCCTTGGATTGTGTTGATGAGTTCTGCTACCAGTGTTGGAGGGGGTGCTGAAGCAAGAGTTAGAACCGACTGAAGGAAGGTTAGGGAGTTGCTGCCTTTATTGAAGATAAGAGGACCTTCCCTTCATGTGAAGGAAAGATGTATGCAACTGGAATGATAAGTGTGATGTTGTATGGCAGTGAAACGGGGGAAGTTAAAGAGGATTGACATGCAGGCTTGAGTGAGCTGAAATGAGAATGGTAAAGTAGATGTTCAATGTGGAACTGAAAGATAGGAAACCCTGTTTAAATCTAAAAAGGCAGCTGGGTATTGTGAGTGTATTGGCAGTTTTGTGTAGAGGCAGGCTGTGAGGTTTAGGGCATGTGAAGATAATGGATGAGACCAATTGGGTAAAGAGGAGCATGAGCCTAAATGTGCAGGGGAGAGCTAAGGGCAGGCCAAGAATGACATGGAGAGAGGTTGTAAGAAATGACATTAGACCTAAGAACTTTAAGAGAGAGATCATAAGAGACTATGAAGCATGGAGAGCTGTTGTCAGGTACAGGTATCCCTCACCATGTGAATGTTTGAGATACGAAAATTCGCTAAAAAGTACCGGTAATTCTTAAATTATCACCTCTAATTCATTTTACAAAAGTTTTCCCTGCTTATATAAATTTAGGTCCCGGCAAATATTCAAATTGTGCGTCCCCAGGAGTCAGCTGGGGCGGCCACATCCCCCTAACGCTCTTCGTACCAGGCTGAGATAGGAGTTACGATATGGTTATTTTTCAACTTGTAATATCTGGTAGATAAACATAAATTTCTTCATATTTATTTTATTCAGTTACATTTTTTCAGACTTTCTTCCATTCTTTCCCACACTTCATCCACTTACTCCAGTGTAACAACACTTGGCTGGCACATGTGTTTTTTAAATTTCACAGCCTGTTTCTCTGAACTGCTGTACCAGTTTCCATATCACTGATTTCAAAGGTTTCGTACAACCACTAAAGCGACTTTTAAATGCAATTTGACATTTCCTAAAGGATGCATTCTTGATGTAATGTTCAACAAGAAACGTGCATTCTTCCACAGTGAGCACCATGGCATGACTAAGTGAAAACCATTAAATGCCATTGATGGGTCACATTACAAATAAATCATATGATACTTGATAACTCTCAGGATCGTTATGTCTTTCTGTAACATTAGGCTACATTAATGCAAAATATTTGGTTCCCAATTGATATAGTTTTTAGTGTATGGGAATTATTTAGGGTTAAAAAAAAACTAATATTATTGTTTTCAATTGCTACATGAAACAATATTAATATTTTGTTTATATAAATACTGTAAATATTGACCCCTTAACTATGGTGACACCACTTAATAATTTGTTTGGCTAACACCAAATGATTTTACTCAGCACAGAGGAAGCCAATACACAAAGGGTTCATAAAGATAATCAGACTATAATTATTCAGGAACTTCACACTTCTGACAAATGTCATGATATATTAGAAGCTGCTGGGACATCAACAAGCCCATTAACTGTAATTTGCTCTTTAGGGTCTCAACCAGAAAATCCTGTAAACCTTACAATCACAACACAGCAGTGACTCATTGCCAAAATGCACAAACACCACTGGGAACAGCAAAAAATGGGATCATGAGAAAGGAAGTCGGTACACTTCATATACACTGTGAGAATTGGAAACCGTGATGGAGGAAACCACAATTTGAGTAGGGAGACTTGTACAGTAAGGTGCAACTGCTAGATCTGGCAATGTGGTTATGATAAAAAATATGGCTTACTGTATTGGTTAGAGCTCTTGGCAGTGATGTTTTCCCTCAAAACTAGAATAATTTCCTGACTATCATACACTTATATAAAAGATACATTTTACACTTTCTAAACAAAAAGAGTAAAATTTATTTGGTAAATATGTGCATAATTTAACTGAAAGGTCAAACTATGTACATAAGTTGTCTGCAAGACCCTTAAGTTCAGGATAAGTTGGCTCTATACTGTATAATGAATCACCATCACGTGTCCACTTGGGATAAAATGTAAGAAAAACTTTTAGCTTTCACAGTCAAAATATATCCACTAACCATCATTCACCATAATAATACAGAACCTAAAAAAAAAATGTATGGCTAATACTGTACCAATAACCATCAGATAAATTATAATAAATCAAAGTGTGACATTCACGTCTCCAGGGATGATCCGATAGTAAAAGTCATGGAGCTGGCAAGAGGAGGGTTGTGGGCAGTTGGACTGTGAAGGTTGGGAAATAAAAATACATCTTAAACCCTGGTTCATTGGTTAGGAGCTGTTATGCAGCAATTTGCAGTGATCTGATGGAACAAGGTAGCCTGCTATTAATGCATGCTGAGCCACTTGATAATGGCAAGTACTGACGAGATGCTCTTGTGGAAATATCTCATAGGTAATTTGTTGATAACCCCGAAAAGATTTTATCAGGCAGGATACAAAAAGGTTTCACACAAAAAAACCCTGTCTCACAAAACCTCTCTGGCCTACCTCTTTTTGCTTTTAGTTCTTTACTATTTACAGTAGTCAACAATAAAATTCATGACATCTTAAATATATTTACCCTTAAATTTTTTTCATCTAATAATTTTCAAATTAACACAAGTTTTCACACAATTATGTATTTCAAATTTATTAATACTGTAACCAAGAAAAAGAAAGCAACCATATTGAGTGAATTTTTATTTACTAATATGACAAATTTAGCGTCTTACGCACCAACCTCTCTGCAATTTTGTTGAACTGTTCTCTATCATCTCTCCACATCTTTGCTGCATCAACATTTGCGCTGCTTTCATCATTTGGTTCTGAAATGACAATGAATATTTTGTTCTTATGGTCTACAATTAGTGAAGGTAAGTGTTTAATTAGGATATCAAACGAAGAAGTGACTTGAAAAGCTAATAAGATTAATTTGCTTATACGAATTTAATAAATTACCACTGGAATTAGCCCTCAGAACAGGGGAAAGGCGTGGGGGATCTCTCGGCTGTGCTCTGTCTCATGCCCTTAGAAACGATTGACAAATGGCAACGTAGTATTTTTTTTTTTTTTTACTGATCAATTATTAAAATTTTTATTTATTCCTCATATTTACTGTGATTGTGAAGTGCTTTCTCTCTGTTTTTTGACTGTAAAGTGAGCAGTGTAACTTTAAAAATGTCTCACAAGCTGTTGCTGAAGGCTCTTGCATCTGGGAAAGCCCAGGAAAAAAAAACATGTCTCTCGAGGTGAAGCTTGACATTGTGAAGTGGCCTGACTTGTTCTTAATGATATGGTGAGTGTTGTTTAATTGTTTTCTATTCATTTATTTTATTTGTGTAGGATTTTTTTTTTCTTATACCCAGTTGAGTCTGTATTTACGCGGTTTTGGTTTCACGTTTTGTCATTTAACGGTGGCTTGCCAGAATTGAAATGCTTTAATTACGCGGTAAATTTTGTCATTTACGCGGAGAGCAGCTGGCGGTCCAGCCGCACGCCATTTTGGATTCAAACCTCCGGCCATGCCTGACCACAAGCGGGGGGAAGCAGCACGGGGAGGGGTGCGCAGTATGTCGCTGTTGCGTTATCGGTGACGTCATATGACGTATCGGACTGTGATTGGGCCACGCATCCTTACCTCCCTCCCCCGCTAGCTGTGATTGGTTTAATGTAATATGACGTGCCCTGTCATGGGAGGGAAGAAGTCACTGACCTAGCAGGGCCTGTCTCATTGTTCTCAGTCCGCGTATACAGTTCTCTCTTGTGCCCGCTATTCCCCTCACAACGGCTGCCGCGGGACCCCCACCACCAGAGAAAAACATTGAATTACCTGGACCAAGCCATGATAATGTGAAGGAAATCATCGAGTTGGGGGAGAAACTTAAGCTCATCCTTGATAACTACCCAGACCAGCATCGGTATGAAGTGTCTAATGACCATCTGACGAAATTCATGGAGCCGTATATCCAGATCTATCTCGACAACATCAATGCTAGTCGCCAACGTAGTACTGAGGACTTCCTCCCCCGCAACCCACCACAACCACAAGCACAGCAACTAATCTGCCCTCTGTCTCGGAACCAGCCGCCATCCACGTGTGCCGACCCAGCTTTTCTACTAACGTAAGTGTTAAAAAACCTAATATTATTGATATTTCTCTTCATTATTAATTATGTATGCATACCATCATAAAATTAAGATGTTATTTTTACTACAACGTAGGTATTGTGTCGGAAAAAGTGGAGTTTGGCCCAGTCTCTATTTCAATTAATCCCGTATGTTCTATTATTTCATTTACGCGTTTCTCGTTTTATGCGGGCCTCCACGGGTTCAATTGATCGCGTACATGAAGACCCAACTGTACATGTGTATAGGACTGGCTGGGCACGTATCCTAGTGAATTCCATTTATGATATTTCAGTTTGTGATGTGGTTTTCAGGAATATAACCCTATCGAAATTGAGGTTTACCCATACCTAAATTGTCTCAAGCATTTTCTGGGTCAACAATTTGTCATATTACTTAAATACATATCTTATCTCGAGAATATTCTGCCTTATCTTATCTCGTCTGGATAATTTGTTTTAATATCTAGGTTTGCAACTGGTCTAAAGTCAACTCTGGTTTCTTATCTTGTACAGTATAATAATCAAGTGACCAGTTTTCTATTGTTTATATTTCATTTCTATTATCTAAAGCTAATTACAAATTGTTGCTTTTATTGTTTTTCTTAAATATGGCTTTGAAGTTTTTATTATAATTAAAGTTTTGTTTCCATGCAAGACTTCCTTCTCTCCTGCCATGTACTGTAATGAGGTTTCTCTTGAGATCTTTACCACTGACTAACTGTAGTAAAGCTTTCACATCACATAAGTATTCTGAGGTTTTCTTTCTCCAATTACTAATTCAGACTAGGGGAAAATCCCGTGAATTAACAAGCTAAGTAAACAATTTGGAAAAGCTAGGAATAAGTGAGAATTGCTTTTAGGGAACTCGCAACTTCTAAATATACTACATTTAATGTATTTTTTATTTAAAGTATGCATACAACAATGTTTTCTTTATTTTGTTCAAGATGCAAAACAATGTTCAGCTGAGTTTGTGTGAATGACACAGTGTAAGGAAGCAAAACTGATTTAGTCTACTGGTAGGCCTAGGTCCGAGGGTAACATGGATGACCTACTGTAGGGCAGTACGGCACAGGAAACTGAAATATCTACAAACTAGTTTGGCCTGCACAGTACAGTAATATCTCCGTTAGCTGGAATCCCTCTTAACCAGAACTCTCTGATAGCCGGAATTGAAATTTTCTCGGAAAATCGTTTCCAAAGCCAGAATTATCTTGAAATTCTGGCTTTGGGAACGATTTCCGAGGGGCACATTTTCTGGAAAATTTCAATAAAATTTTCCCGGTACCCGAAAATTTCTGGGGATGAGGGATTTTTTCTAGGTTTGAGAGATTAAAATCATGCACATTTTCCGGAAATTCTGAGAAAATTTTTCCAGTACAGTACACGGAAAATTACAGGGATTGGGGATTTCTTCCGGCTGTGAGATAAAATAGATCAAAATTCTGGGGATCGGGGATTTCTTTCTGGGTTCGAGAGATGATGTAATGCGCAATTTCTGGAACTTCCAAGAAAATTTTCCCGATACCTGGAAAATTCCGGGGATGAAGGATTTTTTTACCGGCTTCAAGGGAGTCATCTCGTTATCCAGAAATCTCTCACTCCCAGAAGTGCTCTGCACCAATTATTCCAGCTAACGGAGATATCACTACTATATTATTTGTTTCTAAAGTGTATGCTATATTATTTTATTTTATTTTATTTTCCTTATCAGCCTGAATTGTGCATCCTGTTGTTAAAACATGTCCTCCCCTCTGACTAGAGCTGCTCTTTGGAGAAAGATGTTTTAGTAGTTTGGATCTCACATATTCTGTTAAAACCTGTAAGTCATTGACTGGCTTTCACAAGGTCATGCCTTTCTGTATTTCTCAACATTTGCCAGGGTGGATATTAATATTTTGTATTTCAAACTCACCTGCCAGCATAGATACCACCGAGAGTAATATTTTCTCTACACTCTGGACTGGACTCCACCTTTCAGCACTGGTTTCATATCCCATGGGGTCATCACCTGGTGCGTGGAGGATGGAGATGCATACTCGGCCATCTGAGTAAACTGGTTAAATAATAACTCATTATTTACCCTTGCCGAGTCATAATTCATTAAGACAGAAATTTTTTTTGCACAGTTCTCCTAAATGCAATCAATACACAGTGAAAATTTGAGTAAGATAAAGAGTCAGTGGTTCCATGCAGGTTTATCCAGGTACTTCAAATACAGATGCACTCTGCAACATCTGCATGGTGCTGGAAGTGATTTTGGATGGTGATGGAAGTGTTAAAAAATATATTCACTTCCAATATTTACTGTATATTTTATCAATGTGAGTAGAGAGTAACGGAATAACGGAGTCAACGATATATATATACAGCTACTCCTCGACTTACGACCACCCAGACATACGACCGCCCCAGTTGTACCACTCCTCGACTTACAACGGGGTTAGGGACCCAAATCCAGGTCTTAAGTCGAAAATGCGAAAATAATGCATAGAAAATCTAAAATGGGTGTGTCTTTTTCTTCTCAGCACCACAAAACTCTCACTTTTAAGCTTGCCAGCCATTTTAAAGGAAATTACAAAATGAAAATTTTGTTTGCACACAGAGGAATGACTAACGTTGGGACTCGAAAATACGTAATTTGAAATTTTTTTGGTATGACTGGGGCCACTGTGTATATATATATATATATATATATATATATATATATATATATATATATATATATATATATATATATATATATATATATATATATATATATATATATATATATATATATATATATATATATATATATATATATATATATATATATATATATATATATATATATATATATATATATATATATATATATATATATATATATATATATATATATATATATATATATATACAGCGGTCCCTTGGTTAGCGAACGGTCCAATTAACAAAATTTCGGTTAACGAATTAGCTCCCAAAAGGATTTTCAGTTCGATTAACGAACAAAACTTGGATTAACGAAAGCCTGACGAGAACACGTTTTGTTGTGCTTATCAGCTGATCGGCTAGTCCGCCAATACGGTACAGTAATTGGTTCTATGTTCACATTCGTTTCCGGTGGAGTAAATATCAAGAAGGTTGTGCTCTTTAATATTTTTGCATTTTTTATACAGTTAACATATTGATAATATATGCAGTACAGGGAACTACATAGTTTTTATGCACTCATCAGCCGCTTGACTCACCCGCCAAAGCTTCTCTGTTTAACTTTGTTTACAGTGAAGGAAACATCGAGTTTGTTGATCTCCTGAATATTTTTACATTAAAATTATTGGTCATTCTGAAATTTAGTTAACATATTGATAATATATAGCACAGTGCAGTGTTGATTTAAATAAAATACAGTTATCTTTAATTACAGCTAATGAACTTAAAATTTTATTGGTGAAATTACTGCATCAAGCTTGGGTGAGAAAGATGATTCTCCTCAGTGTTCCTCTCCAAAAAGGAGAGAGGATTTTCATGTTAGAGAATCTGTCAGTCCAGAAGTTCCTGAGATTATTATGGAAGGTGACTCACCTTCCAAGAATTCTCTTCTCCCTCTCCACTCCCCCACTTCTAATTCCCATCATCATCATCAACCAGCAACATTCTACATACACACCTCAAAGTAAGTGTACAGTACTGCACTGCATTTTGTTTATACTTTGTATGTACTTTTCTGTGAGTTGGAACCAATTACCCAATATCCCATTGAAATAATAGATTCGGTTAACGAACAATTCTGTGGAACCAATTGTGTTCGTTAACCGAGGGACCACTATATATATACAGTATTACCCCGCTTTACGCGGTTTCAGTTTCCGCGATTTCTCATTTACGCGGTGCCTCGCCAGAACCGAACTTTCACTTTCCGCGGTGTATCTACTCATATACGCGGGAAGCGGCGCGGGCAGGATGCGCACAAGGTCGCCCAGTCATCAAAACATTACCGAGTTCTTCACCCGCCACCCACCACAGCTGGCCTAAGTCAGTGATAGTGAGGTTATGGACTTATATGGACTTTGAGGGGTTTGACAAAGAGGCCCTGCAAGCCTATGTGGTGGATAGTGATACAATTGATACAGGTGAGGGCCAATAATCTGCCCTCTGCCTCGGAACCAACCCCCCCATCCCTGTGTGCCCAGCCATCTTTTCTACTAATGTAAGTGTTAAAAAAACTAATATTATTGATATTTCTCTTAATTATTAATTGTGTGTGCATACCATCATAAAGTTAAGATAATATTTTTACTACAACATAGTTGTGTGTCGTCAAAAAGTGGAGTTTGGGGGTCGAGCCAGTCTCTATTGGAATTAATCCCATATGTTCTGTTGTTCACTTTACGCGGTACCCTGTGGGTTCAATTGACCGCGTAAATCGGGGTACTACTGTGTGTATATATATATATATATATATATATATATATATATATATATATATATATATATATATATATATATATATATATATATATATATATATATATATATATATATATATATCAATTGTATCACTATCCACCACAGAGGCTTGCAGGGCCTCTTTGTCAAACCCCTCAAAGTCCATATCCTCACTATAATTATCACTATCACTGACTTGGGCCGGCCGTGGTGGGTGAAGAACTCTGTAATGTTTTGATGACTGGGCGACCTTGTGCGCACCATGCTCGCGCCACTTACACAACATGGCGGATGGCGGGAGAGATGGCGGGAGGTTTGGATCCAAAAATGGTGCGGCTCGCCAGCCGCTCTCCGCGTAAAGGGGTACACGCACCGCGGAATGTGAGCATTCTTGTTTCGGCAGGGTACCGTGTAAACGTGGAAATGCGGAATGTGGGACCGCGTAAAGCGAGGGTTGACTATATATATATATCTACACTGTTTATCGTTAACTCTGTTACTCTCTGCTCATGTTGATAGAATATACAGTAAATGCTTTACATACTGTATACAGTACCATGTGACACACCCACACTACAAACCCACTGCACTCCTCTCCACATACACACCACACATAGCCCACACACATTCTTGACCTATTATTCCATACTAAAATAAGAACATTATAACTGTAAATATAGTAATGCGTATTAATATTGCTGTGCACACTCAACCTGGTAATGCAAATTAAAACAAATGGGCCAAGACTGGGCCTTTAGAGCTGCCATGCCCCTACACCTTCAACAGTTTTTAATGCTCCATAATATGTTTTGAGCATTTCAGATAAGATGCTTTTAATTTTCATGTGAAGTTGATATTCATCAGTAATATTCAGGAATATACATATGTTAAACTTAATCATTGACATAATCGGTAGAACAGGCACCTTTATGACAATTGAAAGCAACTCCTTGGCAGTGGAGGTGTCGGCTTCTACCTCTCTGTCTCCAACACAGAACACATGATCACCTTTTACGAAAATATCACTGTGGGAATGGGTACTACAGTACTCCATTACTGTTACAGTAAGACAATCCCCCTCTCCCCCCAAGTCAGACTTTCATAAGTTGGAAACCCCCATTAGTCTGCCATCACTTAACTTACACCTCAGAGTCAGAATTGGTGGTAACCCCCGATCTACCTCCTCGTATCCTCGATTCCAATAGTCATTAAACCAAGAAATAAATGCTGCTTTTAAGCAGCCCCTTTTGTCCTCCAACTCAAGATTCATCAATAATTGTCCGCTACAATATATAATCTCAAAAATCATCTGCTACAATGTAAGTACACGGTAAATAAGTATTGTCAACTTTAATTTTGTTTTTAGATGTGGTTTTTCAGCAAAAATGGTGGTCGAAATTACCCCCCCCCCCCGACGGTAATTTCGACCACATAAGTCAACTAACAGGCCCCCACAGTCTGACTTGAAGGGTCTTACTGTACTGGAACATAGATTCTGCAAATCATTTTAATGTTCATTGGTTAATCTCATCCATAATGTGAACTGTGTGTGTATTGCACTAATAGTTGGACAAAGTATTAATGTTGAAGCAAATGCATTCCTCTTTAGCCCATACTGATGATGTATGTGTACTGATAGACCAATGAGTTGAGGGATGGGGTATCCAAAACTCGGTGGAATTTGAAGAGTATAATCAGTTGACTTTACCTTTAAAGCAACAAACAAAACATCGGTTTAGTATTATTAACAATATACAGTAAAAGTCCAAAAATCTGGACCACCCGAGAATCCGGACTTTTCGAAAACTAATTTTTTTTTAGCGGGCTTTTGTGTGTATGTGCGCATGCGTGAGCACCACAGCTGCACAGCGACAACAAGCGACCACACGGTCGCCACTTTAAAACGAGCAATCAAACTGTGACAACATACCGTATATACTCGTCTATAACCCCCCTCGTTTATAGGTCGACCCTGATTTTTTTACCAAGAAATCGTTAATTTATGATATTCCTCGTTTATAGTTCGACCCACATTTTTGAGGGTAATGGAACAACAAAACTTTCAGTAAAAACACTCTACGTCCTATAAACTGAGGCTCGCCGTGCCTGAAACATGAGTGCCGAAGGCAAATTGTTTACCATTTATTATTACGACACTTTACACCGAAACGCAGGTAGTTTCAACAAAAATATTGTATATTTCCATTCAAGTATTTATTCAAGTCAATTAGGAGGGAATAATATTGTAATACAACAGTTTTTTAACTAAACCATTCGAAAAGCGATTACGGTAACATCTTTTGAACGAAAGAAAGCGAAAGTCATTGTTTTCGTCACGATTTTATCCCACTTTCCACTGTAATGCGTATGTAATTTCAGCAAAAATATTACATTTCCGTGAATGTATTATATCAAGCACAGTATGAATAGAATATCATAGTAATATAACAGAATTTTAACCGAAAACTATTAAAAAAACGAGTAACATCTCAAGAACATCGGAAGCTTAGGTAAAGTCCTTTGTTTTCGTCATGTATTTTATCCTATTTTACATTGAAATACATCACGTTTCAGCAAAACTACTATTTATTTCCGAGAATATATTCATTCAGGCGCAGTTTAGGTAAAATATACGTGTGATGTAATAGTTTTTTAACTGAAAACGATTTGAAAAACACGTACCCTCTAGCCCTGTTCAAGGAAAGGATTGGGAGAAGCTGTTTGGTGCTGCAGACGATGACAAGGAAAATGATTTTGATGGATTATAATGAAAATATTCAGAAATATGGTATCGTATTATTTATTCAAGTCAATTAGGATATAATATTATCGTAATACAACAGTTTTTTAACTGAAAACCATTCGAAAAGCGATTACGGTAACATCTTTTGAACGAAAGAAAGCGAAAGTCATTGTTTTCGTCACGATTTTGACCCACTTTCCACTGTAATATGTACGTCATTTCAGCAAAAATATTACATTTCCATGAGTGCATTATATCAAGCACAGTATGAATAGAATACCATTGTAATATAACAATATTTTGAGTCCTACTCTTTCCATTTACAGAGTACTGTACAAGCCCATAATAATGGCTCCTAAAGTAGATAAACTTCATTGTGTGAAGAGAAAGAAGAACACGTTGAAATTGAGTAACAAACTTGAAATAATTAAGAAACTAGAACGTGGTGTGAGCAATACTGTTCTAATGGAAACATACGACATTGGAGATATAAAAAAGGCAAAGAATAAAATTCTAGAATTCACAGCTTTTTCATTAAAACTGCTCGTTTTGATAAATGAAGCATGCTATATTTGCTAATGAATAAACTATCAAAATGTACCTGTTCATCTCTTCTTTATTCCTCCTTAAATTTGAATTTTAAAAGTACTGCCTGAGAATCCGGAAAATCCGGACCGACCCAATCCCCAAGCAGTCCGGATTTTTGGACTTTTACTGTAACATATCTTTAGCATCTTAATAAATATCAGGAAATAGCTGGCATCTATAACATTGCTGGGATTACCAACTTTACCTCACTGCACCTCCATTCCATCACTTGCCAAGCTCCCCCTCACTCTATAACACCCCCATTTCCCCCTACATCATACTGTGCCATCTATGGGTAAATTGAACTACTGTTTCAGACTGGCAACTCAGTAAGTCTCATAATTCATGGGGAGAGAGAGAGAGAGCGCATTGCTGTTGTCACATTAGCTATATCTCGCAGACAGGTAGACCAGGTGGAACTGTTGCATTGTACCTAGGATAGAAATTTAGTATCCTGGTCTAACATTTCATTTACAGAGAGACAAGGTAGATAACCCAATTTATCTTCTTAATCCTTGTAACTAGACAATTTATATAATGCCAAGGAGGAAATTAACTTAACTATTCTTAGTTAAGGATGAGAACGTGTTTCTGGCATCACATACAGCCAGATGTATTTCATATGCTTTTATGAGTCTGTAGCTCCCTAGATCATTATCATATATTTTCTGTACAGGAATATTTCTTTAAAAGCTGCCTCTTAAAATGCTGTTTCATTATATCACTCAATGTTCTGGAAGAAATTTTTAGCAACAAACCATAAACAAATATTTTAATGTAATATTGCTGGTAATGTAGCCAAGCAGTCAGAGAAAAGCATTTGTGTGAATGAATGCATGTCACAGAACATGTGGAGGTGAGTAAGCCTCAGATTATTATTGTTTGTAACATGGGTTTGGTAAAGTAAACCATCTGAACCCATCTGTATATTTTATGTCCACAGTTAAAAAAAATTATTTTTTTCATTTATGAAATGTTTAATGTGTTTAATGCATTTATTATGAGTACATTATTATTATTATTATTATTATTATTATTATTATTGACTCAAAGAAGCCCTCATATAACACTCATAATATGAATAACGTCACAAACACATCTCCATTGGAAACACATTAGTAAAGTATATTGACCTCTTATAGCACTATGTTTTCCAGAAACACATCTTGAGCACTATAAGAGTATGCCTGTACAGCTCTTGAAAATATTCAGATTTATCAGTATTATTTAATAAATTTATTAAAACATTTATGAACGAGTCTGACCCTATATTTAATAATCAACTGTCTCACAATTATTGTGAGACAGTTTAAAAAAAAGGTGGTATTCTTCTGAATACTGACAGTCATTAATCAACAATGTGGCATATACTAATCCAGCAGTACAGTAATAAATAAGTTAGGTACAGTAATATAAAACCAACTCTATTTCAATTTGATAATACAGCAGGAATTTAGGGCAGGAGTATGAGCTTCCTTTTATGGGTGGACAGGTCTGACTTTTGAAAATCTACATTTTATTTCAACCTTTGACCAGAAGTCTCCCTTGACCTTGAGTCAGTCACAAGATCAGATGGGATCGAGTCTTCAACCCTCATTCTGCTTGGTGAAAAAATGCTAATTGCTGAAGAAAATTTGATCTCATTTCATCTGGCTATTGACTTAACAAAGCTCTTTGGTAACAGGTACACTCTGCCAAAGGAGATTTAGCTATTTGGATCTTGAAAGTCATTCACTGATGATCCTTAGGCCATTAAAAAAAAAACTTACTGTTGGGATGAAACATTTCACAAGTGAACTGCATCTTGGGTGGTGACAGAGGGTAGTCTGGAGGGAATATCAACTTGGCTGGAAAGACTCCACACTCAAAACAAGTTCCTTCAGGACCCCTAAAAAGATTCACATATGTAAGAGAAATGGTATAACTCAAAATACCTATTAGTCCGTTATTACTACAGTACATGACATTGAGGACTATGGTGTTTGAGTGGATACAGCACTTGCCTCCTGTTCCATGGGTCGGTGGTTTGATCCCCAAGCACTCCCTGTTCACCTAGTTGTAAATGGGTACCCAAGTTTACAACTTGGGGGAAATGAATGCGATAGAGTACAGTACCAGCCATGCCGCCTCCTTGTGTACCAAAGGCTTAGTATACAGTGTGCTGTATCCACACTGTCCCTAATGGGCAGTCATACCTATGGGACCAACTTTCACTTCACATCTTATTAAAAACTATAACTTAAATCTTAAGATAAAATTTATTTTTATCTGTGCAGCACAGTAAGTAAGACCCCTCTAAATCAGACAGCGATAAGTCACAAACCCCCATAAGTTGGACAAGCTCCACCTGCCACCAATTAGAGTACTGGTACAATAATGATATATTTTAACCATAATATCCATGCTTGCAAAAATATATTCGTATACAACTCACATGATAAGCGCCTCCCATTCAAAAAAGTTCTCTTCATTAGTTGGTCCAGCAATGATACCCTCGGGAGGATTTAATGTCAACTCTGAAAAGAAAAAATTCTGGAATTAAAGTACACTAATAATATTCCTTGTACCAGAAAATTTCACATCTCTTTAATAACATCATCATTCTGATTAACCATACAATGTATCAGTAATGTACTGTGAGTATGAACTGTTGAATTTTCAGTTCACTTAAATGAAGCAAACCCTACAAGTGCACTGGTGAGTCAATAAAAGAACTTGGATAACAGCACAGTTGTTAGAAGAATGATTTGTGAACTGTTTTTGTGGAAAGCTATTACCGTGACTTTCAGCTTATCTGCACACCCCCACTCCTCCCAATTAGTCTATCTTATAAGGTATGGCAAGAATCACTTTGAGGCAGTATGGTAGCAAAACTTTAATAGTAGTGGAAGGGCCTCACTGCAGGATGGGTGTGTGGGACCCATTTTTTTTTATGCCTGGAAGTCACCAGGGGTCATACCCCTATTTTCTTTTCTTTTTAATAATTTTGAACACCCCTTTAATAGTATGCTGATATGGCAAAGAAAGTCCTTTAAAATCTTTTACAAAAGTTTGCAGTGCAAGAATACCCCACTATTTGCAACCCTGCTTATTCACAGTTTATATTTTAACACCAACATTCGATATTCGCAAAGCATATCCCGCTTATTTGCAAAGCGAATTGGAAAACATTATATCTATGGAGATGGCATGTTGCTATAAAATAGGAAAAATGAAGAGCATGGGTGTGTATGTGTGTGAAGAGAACTTGTATGTGGACTTAGCTTGTCGCCAAGTTAGACTGTCCCTGGAGCTTCATCTCCCTAGCTCACCAGGCCAATCTGTGTTATTGTTGTTTTCAATTTATATATATATATATATATATATACAGTACTTCATTTTTAGTCCATATAACACGCGGACTTTGAACATATAATCAATGACCTCACCAGCCAGGATTTGAACCCTCGACCTACTGGGTGGGACTAGGGACTAGCGTTCCCTAGTCCCACCCAGTAGGTCGAGGGTTCGATTCCTGGCTGGTGAGGTCGTTGATTATATATATATATATATATGTATATATATATATATATATATATATATATATATATATATATATATATATATATATATATATATATATATATATATATATATATATATATATATATATATATACAGTGGGGTATGCTATAACGAATCTAATTGGTTCTAGAACCTTGTTCGTTATAGCATTCGTTCGTTATAGGATTAATCCATTCCAGGCCCCCAAATACAACCACTTAACACTGAAAAATATAATATTAAATTGTAAAAATTGTAAAAAAGTGCATAAATATGCATCTAAACCCTTGAAATGAAGAATATCATTAATACTTGTAATACAGAAACAATAAATTAGTAAAAAAAAAAATTTTTATAATGTTCGTTGTAGGAGTTTCGTTCGTTATAGCATTATCAGTTTTATAGGTAAAACCATTCGTTATAGGAATATTCGTAGTAGGATCCGTTCGTTATAGCATACCCCACTGTGTGTATATATATATATATATATATATATATATATATATATATATATATATATATATATATATATATATATATATATATATATATATATATATATATATATATATATATATATATATAATTTTTGTGTGTGAATTTTCTTTGCTAAGAAACACAACAGGGGAAAAAGCATTAGGATGATTCATGACCATATCGACATATAATTTGCATTGGTAGTTAAATGCTTTTTTGTGTTCATAGAAGCATTACTGTAATTCAGGTCTCACATTGGACATAATCTTAACACACAATACCAAAAATGATACATACACACACTAATGTCAACTCACAAACTATCATGATAGCAAGCAAAAGTAGTCACACAACAGCAAATTGGGTGGAGGAATATAACTTTTCCTTATCAGGTTTTTGTCCATAGTATTTCTTTTCATCAGGAAATAAATATGCAGATGATGTTGGTATGTATGTGTATGAGTTGTTGCCATCAGCATTTACCTGGGTGTAAGGATGCATCATTGTCAGAATACTTATAGATATTAACAATAATACTATTACATTTCATACCAACTAATAAGAAACAACAGCCATTTTTTCCCCAGGTTACGAATGGGTTCCGTTCCTGAGGCCGTCCTTAAGTCGGAATGCATACCCTATGTGCACTATATCATAGCCCATGTCCTTTTATACATCTCGAATCACTTAATTTAAGAAAAAAAAATTAAGTGAATGACAAAATACAGTACAGTAGTACCCCGCTTAACGCGGTCAATTGAACCCACAGGGTACCGCGTTAAGTGAAAACCGCGTTAAGTGAACAACAGAACATATGGGATTAATTCCAATAGAGACTGGCCCGACCCCCAAACTCCACTTTTTGACGACACACAACTATGTTGTAGTAAAAATTTTATCTTAACTTTATGATGGTATGCACACACAATTAATAATTTAGAGAAATATCAATATTATTAGGTTTTTTAACACTTGCATTAGTAGAAAAGATGGCTGGGCACACGGGGATGGGGGGTTGGTTCCGAGGCAGAGGGCAGATTATTGGCCCTCACCTGTATCACTTGTATCAATTGTATCACCATCCACCACAGAGGCTTGCAGGGCCTCTTTGTCAAACCCCTCAAAGGCCATATAAGTCCATATCCTCACTATAATTATTACTATCACTGACTTGGGCCGGCTGTGGTGGGTGGCGGGTGAAGAACTCGGTAACGTTTTGATGACTGGGCGACCTTGTGCACATCGTGCCCGCGCCGCTTCCCGCGTATATGATGAAAAATTCCGCGTTAAGTGAAAGTTCAGCTCTGGCGAGGCACCGCGTATATGATAAAACGCGTTAAGTGAAACCGCGTTAGGCGGGGTAATACTGTATAGGAAAGTAAAAATTAAAGTTTAACACTTATATTGAAACCTGGGACTGGCTTGCATGGTAAGAGGGGCATTTGTAGGAGTGACACGCTTTATTGGGATGGTTGAACCGAAACTTTCTTCTTTTCATCATAAATCTCCCTGTAGCATCGTAGATATTCAGTAATACCTCTATGAATCTTGGTGAATCTTGTTCTTTAAATTTAAACAGTCCTTCTTCAATAAGCCTGAAACCATCTGCCATTTCTTTGGTGATGAATCCCTTTGGTTATGGAGTTTCAGCTTCCTCTACATCCTCTGACAAAATTTGCTTCTCCAGTTTAATCAGGTCCTCATTGCTTAAATCTTCAGTATGAGGCTCAAGCAACTGTGTGACATCATCCTCATGAATATCAAGCTGGATTTGGTTCCCAAGGTCTACCACTGTCTGTGTCACTTTTCCAATATAATTTTCAGAGCCCCTGAAATCGTGGACAAACTTGTGGGCAGTGTTTTTTCCAAACACCATTTGTCCTTACCTTGAACTGGTTAAACCAGCCCCTACTAGCAACAAAATCTTCCCCATTACTTTCACCAACACGTGGTCAGCATAAAAGCTTATTGCTTTTTCCTGAATCAAGGCTAGACTTAGAGGCAAATCCCTTTGATTTTGATCTGCCATTCATATCACTAACAATCTTTCCATTACAATTCACAATCCACTTTTTTTTTGTTATCACAGTTGAGTGCATTAGTCTTGATCCTTTTACATATTCAAGAATTTTCTCTTTGTCTTTCAAAACTGTTCCAACCATTGAACGACTTGCATCATGTTTGCATTTGGGAGCCATGATGAGGGTCGAAAAAAAAGAGTTAAAAAGAAAAAACAAAGTTTTCACTTAATCACACATGTTTAGGTGATGGGGGAAAAGCGTACTGATGCTCCTGCTCCCTCAAGGAGGGTGACTGGGTGCGATGCATCAATCCCCACATGCAGCTCCACCTCCCGGGTATGCCGCGTAAACTAGTTCTTGTATGTAACTGCTAGGAACCATTGTACTTATGGTGGATTTTTAAAATAATTGACATTATGGGACCTCGTTCATATTAGCGGGTGTTTTTAAGTCGGGGACCCCCTGTACTGTACTGTATTCGGTTAGGCTAAATTACCAGTCACTGCAAAATAGCCTGACAGGCATATTTTGGGCTATTTTGCCGGCCCATTTATGTATAATATTATATACAAGGTAATAGTATTTATTGTAGCATGCAGAGAAAAACACGATTTATGATGCTATTTATGTACAAAAAAATTAGTTGTAAGGTTAGGGACCAGCAAAATAGCCCAAAACAGCCTGTCAGCTAAAGTTTTTCTCTATATCTATGATCATAAATCACCCGTAGTAAAGAGGCCATGAAGGATGAGTAAAATTGCGGGGTAAAACACAGTGAAAAAGTAACCATGTGACACTAAAATAATTTTTCTATGTTCTTTATACGTGAAGAAATTAATTATTTGATTACCGGTAATTATTTGTTGTAAATACAGTATACCTGCAAAAAATCTGCCCTTGTTGTCTGTTGTTTGTTTACAACCGACCTACTTGGTCGGAGTGTACTCTCACTTCCACAAAAAAAAATTAATTACACCATGATGCTTCAACAAAGTTGCTTTCCCGTATTGGTACCTGATATCAAAATACGTACAGTACTTTCTACTTAATATGGTGGGGGTCCAGTTGAAGTTAGGTTAGGTAGGTTTCATTGGTTGGTTAGGTCAGGATCTAGCAAATGCCACCTTTTAAAATACATTTTACTGGTTAATATTCATTTAATGGCAGTGTCAAGATTTTCGTATTTGGTTAGGTTAGGCTTGAACAGTGATTTGGAAGTTGAAATGATTTTGAGAAAAGTTTTTTTGGTGTATTTCTATTTTCATAACAAAAAGGAGCCACAGCCATAAAACGAATATTGGCTAATATAGAGGACTACACAGCCGATGTGTTATTTGTTTTGATTTTTATATTCTTACTATATTTTTATCAGTGAGTTATGATATTATCTTTTTTTTTGGAAATTGCTTCATTTAGTAGATAATTATGTGACTAGGCGTGCACTACTTTGTCTTTCTCAGCGTGATGCGACAGTACATCGCCAATCATCTCCGATCAATGACAGTCGCCAGTACATGTTAATAAGCCACACAGATTGGGCGGTTGCTCTCACGTCCACAAAATTGTTTTAAATTACACCATATCATAATAAGTTCTTTCTGTTTAATATGCTGGGGGGGTCCGGACGGTTGAGCCTCTCAGCTAGGAAGTTGTGAGGTCAGGTAGGTTTCTTTGGTTAGGTTGGTGAGGTCTTCAAACAATGGTTCTGCCACTTGATTTTCTGGTATTTTTATAATAGTTCACACAACATTCCTACCCCTAATCTTTTATCATATTCAAAAAAGACGTCTAATTTTAAGATAATTTTCTAATATTATATTGCTGTTGGAAATGTATAATGACAGAGATTGCGCATGCCAAATCTTTCTCTATTTAATTCCATTAAACTTCCGCCATTCTCGCCAACCCGACCTCCCACTCAGTGTGTTCCCTTCATAAATCGTCAGGCGCATGTGTTCCCGTACATGTCACGCGGCCAATCAAAAGCGTTCTTCTTTTTGCCATCAATTAAAATGAATTGTGGTTTCTGCTATTAGAATTCGCGGTATTTTTTGCCCAATCAGATTCAACTGTGATTTTGGGTCTCATGCTTCGAAATTCAAATTCATTTCCAACCATGGAAGTCTGTGATGGGTATCACTTCAATTATATGGAGTTAATTGCACGCTTTGGGGAAAAAAACGAACAAGCAATAGCAGGTTTTTAGGTTTCATGGTATTTTCCCGACCTCAGTAAAAACACAGTGAGAGTTAGGTTAGGTCAGGTTAGGTTAGGTCATCCCAAAAAAGATTAGGTTTATATATTTTCTAGTGTTTTTTTTTTGGGGGGGGGGGGTGTATTTTGTATTCACTTGGCCATGATTTTTGTCGGAAAACGCCCCACCCAAAACCCCGATTCCCAACAGGATCCCCTATCTTGTTGGGGGTAGAAGGGGGGCAATAACTAAAAAAACAAGCAATTTCCAACGAAAATCAAGGTCAGAACCAAACAAAACACAAAAATACACTAGAAAAACATAGTTTTGACTTTCTAATAGAGTTGTGTGAACTAATATAAATTTACCGATTTTCTTATCAACTACGGTTAAGTTTAATTTAGAAATAACCACTTTAACACGTTTTCCATAACTATGACAGTGTCCACTATAAAACACAGGGAAATTGCGGCATTTTTAAATTCCTTTTCTATGAAAAATCAGCGACTGTGAAGTTGTAATTACCCGAATATTTACCTATCTACTATAATGATTCGAACATATGGTAAAAATGAACGAAATCAAACAACTTAAGGTGTTAGCCATCTACTCCAGTATTACCAAAACTTTTTAAAAATAAATAGAGTAAACTGAATTTTGTCCATCAGTTTCTACCACAACAAAGATAAAAGTAGAAATGCAATAAAATTCAAGTGAAAATGTCTGCTCACTGACACTACTGATGGGAGTATTCACTTTGTGTCTCAAGGCATAAATAATTATACAATATCAGGGTTTAGAGTTGTTGTTTTTCCGGTACTAACGTTTGTACTCCGTCATAAGTCGTTTCAGTGCTCTGCCAGCCATGGTGTGTCTCGAGGTAATTGAGGTGACAGCGCCAGCAAGTCCTGGGCTGGAAGATGTTTACATTCTCGCACCTAACAGCTGATTTTGGGCGGTTACATCGAGAACACTGGGAGTGGGAAGAGAAAATTTAATGAGGTTAATGCATTTTGAGATTATATATATATGTGTGTGTGTGTGTAAGTAAATCACTGTGTGTGTATGTGTTTTATTAAGAATCCCCCCCCCCGTCCTCACCTTGTTTTAATTCAGTAAATAAATTAATCCTTGTTCTCACTGATGAAACACTTTCCCTTAAAAGTTTTGGTACCTTAGGGAAAAATTCTTCAGATCAGAAGAGTGTGCTCTGGGTGGATAGTCTTCAGTTGATCACCAAGACCCAGCACTCCGGTAACGCGGTCAGTAACAGGTAACGGCTAGGTCAGGGATTCTTTACTTTTATCCTCTTCGCCACTGATCGACTCGTTAGGTCAGGGTTTTTTGTTATTATTATTTATTGGGCACCCCCATACATCCTTGTGTAAGGTGAAGCGCAGAAGCGTTTATAGCGCCCAACAGGGAAGCATGCTAAGTTCATGCTTGCCTTTATGTCTGAGTTAAAGGCGTAGAAGCCTGAAGAGTCAGTGGTTTAAGTCATCAAGTTATTGGAAGCTCCAACAACTCCCTGAATACGAATTCGCAACTTTCGACTTACAACAGGTACCTACTTTACTGCTAGGTAAACAGGGACTAATGGGGGCTAGGAAGTATGTCCAAACAACTTCAACCGGCCCGGGAATCGAACCCGTGACATCTCGCTTGCGAGGCAAGAACGGTACCGCTTCTACCACCGGCAGGTATCGAACAGGCGCCCCACAAGGGGTCACAGGTCAAGAGACTCAAGATAGAAGAAGCCACAGGTCCAGAAATGTGTGAGGGCAAACTTTTTCGGAGTGAGAATTGTGAACTCTTGGAACAAATTACCAGAAAGTGTTGTGACGGTACCTAGTGTGAGCTCTTTCAAGACCAGACTTGACCAACACTGGAGCAGGTTCAGGTACATTCAGGAGCCGGTGCATACCCAAGCGGCTAACGAGCCGATTAGTGGTGAAGAGGATAAAAGAAAAGACTGAGTAGTGCCCTTTGAGATGTTTATACACCTCAATTATGTTCCCCCTTGCCCGTCTATAGTATAAGTTAGGCAGTATCAGGCGCTCTAATCTCTCAGGGTAGCTGAGGTGCCGAAGTGCAGGCATCAGTCTGGTGGCCCTCCTTTGGACATTTTCAACCAACTGACAGTCCCTAGCATATCTCGGGGACCAGGCGGGGTGACTACTCCAGATGGGGAAGCACCTTACTCTTGAAGATCGTTACCTTTTACTTTTCCGTCTAGATATCTGAGCGACTTTCTTATAAGACCTAATAATTTAGTTGCCTGATTCACCATCTTTTCGCATTGGCCCGAGAACTTCAACTCGTCAACATACACACCTAGGTCCTGAACTACATTGACCTTGCTTCCAGGGTACTCTTTTGGTACCCCAAAGTTCTTCCGCAGATTGGCTAATTGGTCTGCTCTTTCATCACTTGCTATGTTGCATGTCTGGGCACCTACACCAGACAAATGGTTTTGTCAGTTTTGTAGTTTATTGATAATGTTGCCCTGTGTATTTCATTCATTTCTGTTGGGCCACTGTTAATTGCTTGAAGAACTGACAAGAAATCTGAAGATTTAACAATTTATCACAATCTGAGTTGTTTGCATGATCAATGGACTTGCAAAGGGCGAACAACTCCTAGGCAGCTCGCGTGTGTTTTTAATATAAAGCTAGGATTCCATTTACACGTTAGCCGTTGCGTTAGCGTTAACGCCAAAAATGGATCACATTGAGATGTACAAGGTTGTTTCCATTGACACAGTTGCGTTAGCGTTATGCGTTTGCAGTACATGCTAATCGCTCTCTGGAGATTGGAAACACAAACGCACTGCAAACACGTGAATGGAATCCTAGCTTAAGTCTTGTCAGACGCCTAGAGCAATCTAGTGATATCCAGGCGTTGGAGCGGGATATGCCTGGAGAGTTCTAGAATGATCTAGGCTTACAATACGTAAGTGAATCATAAAAAAATGCAATATGCTCAAGAAAATTCTTACGTAAGTAATACATCATTATATGCAAGAAAATCTTCCAAATTGGCAAAATAACTGATGATCGGAACGGCGTAATAATACGTAAAATAGGTTACGTTAGGTTAATTTATATGTATTGTGGTGATCTACATGATAGTCTATGGCCAATCAAGAGTTAGAAATATACAGAAGTTATGGTTGTTAGGCAATTATATATATATATATATATATATATATATATATATATATATATATATATATATATATATATGATGAGGAAAAAGCCCTGAAGATGTGAATAATGAAAGCGCTTGGGATCTTGTTTTTTTTCCTTGTGGTATCAGCATATACCTGGATCACTCACCTACAGTGATTTATATATATATATATATATATATATATATATATATATATATATATATATATATATATATATATATATATATATATATATATATATATATAGTAAAAATGACTGAATCATAATTATCAAGATATTTAGTTTACACATTTTTCCATATTTTATTGAACTAATGTTTTGGATTTGCATATTGGATCTACTGTATATGTTTTCTAATAAGATGATCACGAACAGTGTTGCCATTTTCGCTGTTTTCCCTCTTTTACATGTGATCTAGCGGGCAAATTTTAAATTAGCGACTAGTTATATTTTTAAAGAAGTCTGGCAGATTCCTAGCATTATTAAAGCCGATTATTATCATACTGATTTTTTAAAAATGTACTTTAAACTGCAGGAATTACTTAATGCTGATGACGATGAATTCTCAGAGTTGCTGTTTTTTAATAGGTGAGTATTCTGTGTACCAGTATATTCAGAATGTTCTTTTTATCTAAACATTTTCTTGCCATGGCTATAGTAACAAGAAATGGAAAGGCATGATTTTCTAAAAATTTTGTACAATTCTTGATTATATTTACGTCGTGTCGTATGCAAGAAATAGCTAGCTTTTCGTTCCAATCTGGCGGGTTTTCGAGGCCTGTCTAGCGGGATTTAAATTACATTGATAGCAACACTGAGCACGAACTTTAGCTTTGAAAAATGCTACTCACGATGATACGCTCAGCGGCTCAGCCTGTAACCTTTGATCATAATGAGTTGCTATGTTCACTGGTGTAGATCGTGAAGCCAGAGACGAGATAGTTTCTAACCTACATATCACTGAAGATTATTATTTTATTATTTTTTTTACGGGGAATAGCCAACCCGGGCACAGGTCATCGACCCACAACTGGGCCTATGCGGGCGATAAAATAAGAGTAAAAATAAATAAAAATGGAAACGAAAAAGGTTATAATAATCTACACCACGAAGATGCCGGAAAACCAGTTATATGACTAGTTCATGTGTACGCCATTACCAAGAACTTATAAAACTCGTCAAGAAAATTTTTTTTTTTTTCAATGATCGATTTTATATTTTTTGGTTGAACTGAACTATCAGGACACGTGCATGAGTGACGTAACTTTACTTTATTATCTTCCTCCACTAATCGACCTGTTACTGTAGCTGTTTGAGTGATCCATTCTCATCTAAGTGGGTCGCATCCTTGAAATTTGACCGTAGCCTTTGTTAGTAATATAATGTGGAGTGTTTGATACTTTTATTACTTTTTACTTTTACTTTTATCCTCTTCGTCACTGATCGGCTCGTTAGCCGCTTGAGCGGTCGGTCACTCCTGTTACACACTGTTGGCAAGTACTGGGCATGCACTGGCTCCTGAATGTATCTGAACCTGCTCCACTGGTGGTTAAGTGAGACCGCTCACACTCAGTGGAGTCGGTGCCGTTGTAGGGTTTTGAGGTATTGGTTCACACTCAGGATGGGTTGGAGAAAGGAAACTCACAATGTGCTCTCTGTACATATATTGTATTGGATGTACAATGCAGCTTGGTGCTGGGACGTGGCAGCGTGATTACAAGCGTGGTGTAGAGAGAGCTGGTTGGGGAGCGTGCTCAGAGGAGGACACGCAGCTTGTGGGGCGCCATAGTCGCCGGCGAGAGCGAGAGCCACCAGGCAGGAGCAGAGGAGGTGTTGCTTGCTGGTGGCTGTAGGTAGAAGAAGGGGAGGTCACGGCGGGGTGAGGTTTTATATAGCAGGGGTAGGCGTGGGTTGATAGTTGACCTCCGCCTTGTTAGGCGGCGCTGGTTGCCGACCTAGACCACGAGGCGTAAGCTGGGGAATTCGAAGAGGGTCGGCTAGTCAGCACAAACGGCAGTTGAAGTTGTAGGGGAGATATCCACTACACCGTCACAACACTCTCTGGAGTCTCTGGCAGGTTGTTCCAAGAGTTCACAATTTTCACTCCGAAAAAGTTCACCCTCACTGTTTTCTGGACTTATGACTTCTTTAACCTTGAGCTGTGACCCTTTGTGGGGCGGGCGTCCGCCAGCTCCAAGTATGGACACTCGGCTGAGTACTGAGTAGTGCCCTTTGAGATGTTTTTACACCTCAATTATGTCCCCCCCCCTGCCCGTCTGTAGTATAAGCTAGGCAGTTGCAGGCGCGCTAAATTCGCTAATCTCTCTGGGTGGCTGAGGTGTCGTAGTGCAGGCACCAGTCTGGTGGCCCTCTTTTAGACATTTTCAATCAATTGACAGTCCCTAATCATCACAACCCCATATGAGGACCCTGAGGTGATCTTTTTACTTACCTTTATCCTCTTCACCACTGATCGGCTCGTTAGCCGCTAGTCTCTGTTTCGCACTGTTGGCAGGGCCTTGGCTGAATCCAAGGAAATTACTCGGCGAAGTCTTGGTCACGCCCCTTAGGCCTTAGCGCCTCTCACTTGTTTATACAGGGTGATTTTTTTATTCGAGAACCCTAAATAATTCCCAAACACGAAAACTTATATCAGTTAAGAACCTAATATTTTGCGTAAATGTAGCCTAATGTTACAGAAAGACGTTTGAGGGCAAACTTTTTCGGAGTGAGAGTTGTGAACTCTTGGAACAATCTACCAGAAAGTGTTGTGACGGCACCGAGTGTGAGCTCTTTCAAGACAAGACTCACTTGACCAACACTGGAGCGGGTTCAGGTACATTCAGGCAAGGTAGGAAACCTACCTTGCATTCAGGAGCCGGTGTATGCCCAGTACTTGCCAACAGTGCGTAACAGAGACGTTGTAGTGGATACCTCCCCTACAAACGCTGTTTGTCACTAAGTAGCCGACCCCTCGAATTCCCCAGTGTATGCCTCGTGGTCTAGGTCAACCAGCGCCGCCTTACATGACGGAGGTCAACTATTAAGCCACGCCTACCTCCGCTATAAAAGACCTGACCTCGTGGTGACCACTCTGTTTCTACCTACACCAACCAGCAAGCAACACCACCTCCTCCGCTTCTGCCTGGCGGTCCTCGCTCCCGCCGGCGAGCATGGCGACCCACAAGCTTGTCCTCTGAGCACCCTCACCAACCAGCTCTCTCTACTCAACGCTTGTAACCATGCTGCCTTCCCAGCACCAAGCTGCATTGTACATCCAATACAACATGTATACAGAGTTTCCTTTCTCCATTCCATCCTGAGTGTGAACCCAAAACATCACGTACCCCACAACGTGACCGATCGCCCAAGCGGCTAATGAACCAATCAGTGGTGAAGAGGATAAAAGTAAAAGTGACATGATCGTAAGAGTTATCAGGTACTGTATTACGTGATTAATCACGTGACCCGTCAGTGACATTTAACAATTTTCAATCTGTCAGTGACTGTTGCCCCTTGACGCTGTGTTTGTTATGGGTTGCGTGACGGACAACGCCAAGCATTACCCACAGACAGCAGCCTAACTTGCTTAACTTGCTAGCGGCTTAACATTTGCCTAACAGACGTTACCGAGTCACCGACCACGTGTGGCTAACGTCGATCAGTGGCGAAGAGGATAAATTAAAATGTTATAACGTCTCCTTAAATTTATACGACCAAGGTGAACCCTTTTATATTTCGTGACTCTTACCATTCCACAGAGATCAGTGGGAGTGGAGCTACCACGTGTATATGCCTTGATTGAGTCGATTTACTGTTTACCAGTGTGAACTTGTGTGACGACTTAAAGGAACTTATCTATTAATCTTTACGGCAAGGTCCGCCTGGGCGACAAGTCATACCCTTATCGTTATGGTAATCACTAGTCCAGATTGACCGGAGGCGTTCTCTATATTCCTTGCGGGAGTGTGGTGACTGGTGAGTAGTGTATTGTCACTCGTGAAATATTCACTAATCTATATTTTCTAACAGTTTTTGTGCAGTAGTTTTCAATGTAGGTTAGATGAGGAGTGCGTAAATGTATTTAGACTAGTAAATTAATACTGTAGTTAAGTGAGCGATCGGACTAATGTAGCTGCCGGACTGCCAATGAAGTCACAAAGTTTGGAAAACTTACTTTAATCTGAGTTAATAGATCGCGTGCATGTACCGAGGGAGCGAGTAATTACCCAAATGTAGCCGCAATGAAGTCAAATGATGGTCCTACAAGCATAAATCGGGCTGTGAATCACTTCTCGATTATTATTTGGTGTCATAAAGTCACAAAAAATTGGTAAACTTAATTTAATCTGAGTTGTGTTAGGTTAGGTTAGGTACATGCACTCGATCTATTAACTCAGATTAAATTAAGTTAACCAATTTTTTGTGACTTCGTGACACCAAATACTAGTCGAGGTTAGGTTAGGTACATGCCCTCAACCTATTAACTCCGATTAAATTAAGTTTACCAACTTTTTGTGACTTCGTGACACCAAATACCAGTTGAGAAGTGATTGGCAGTCCGATTTATACTTGTAGGACCATCATTTGACTTCATTGCGGCTACATTTGGGTAATTACTTGCTCCCTCGGTACATGCACGCGATCTATTAACTCAGATTAATTACGTTTTCCATTTTTTTTTTACTTTGTGACACCAAATACTAGTCGAGAAGTGATTGGCAGTCCGATTTATTCATGTAGGACCATTATTTGACTTCATTGCGGCTACATTTGGGTAATTAGTCGGACCCATGTTTTTTTTAGAGTATACTGTACTCTTTCTAATTACATAAACCAGTCTGGCGTGACCTTAATTGATGTGACCAAAAATGTTACATAGAATTGTTCTTGTATTAAGTTCGAGCAACGTACATAATTTCTATAAGTAAAGGATTTAATTTTTTGTACACAGTAAAGTAGATTGTTGACAGATTTTACACAGGACTTCCGTTAGGGTTCTATTCGCCCCAAAACATAACCCGTTCTCCAAACTGTATAAACGTTTAGTTTTTAGATAACGGTTTAGCATAAGGTTCAAATTATATTTCCAACAATATTGGGAGTAATATAATTGGACTTATGCAGGTGATTTAAAACGATTGTTTGGTGTGCTAATTTTACAAATGTCAATGCTGACAAGTTAATTTGGTTAGTAAACAAAAGTGTTTCACCTTAATTCACCAAATTAGGATAACCTTTAGGGTTAATATTGACGACTGACCCGTCGACTCATCATTTGTTTTGATGTTTATTTTATCACTATTTTTTCATCAGTGACTTCTGATATGATAATCATTTCCCGTGCAAATTCTTGGTTTTGTAGATATTTAGGCACCTAGGCAAAAACTACTTTGTGTTCTCGAAGGTAGTGTGATAGTTACGTCTCATTCCCGGATGGGTAAATATTAATTTAATGGCTGTGGCTTCTTTTTGTTATGAGAATAGTCCTTTGTGTGTGTGTGTGTGTGTTTTGATGTGTTTTACTCAAATTTGACCTTCATTTTTGGGCAAATGAGCAAATTTTGTAAAAAGTTATATTTTTTACAAAATCCACTAATTTGCATAAGAAATAAAGGTCAGATTTGAATAAAACACACCTAAATACGCCAAATAGCCAGATAAACCTAATCTCATAAAAATTTTAACTTCCAAATCACTGTTGAAACCTAACCTAACTTAACCTGACTGATAAAAATTGTACTCATCTCGGTTAATATATATATACATATATATATATATATATATATATATATATATATATATATATATATATATATATATATATATATATATATATATATATATATATATATATATATATATATACAGTATATATATATATATATACTGTACTGTTTATATATTGATCATTACATGATGCTTCTCCACTATTCATGGTGTAGATCATCAAAATATTTAAGACATGATTCTCAGTTAGGCCCCAAACACTTTTGAAGTGATTTTGTTTCTCCTAGATTTGAGACGAGCGAGATGGGTGCACTGAGGACGTTATTCCATTTAATCTTGGCTCTTCATTATGGATATGGCATAAATGTATATCTATATGGATTAAACCCACCACAAGAAATTATTGCCCTGAGGAAAATTGGTTATGGAGCCTTCAAGTATCTCACTTTTTGGGATATGGTAAGTTTATTAACTCTTTTATCAAGATTTTTAGACCAAGATATTTAAGTAAGTTGTAGGGTTTATGAAAATTATTTTGAGAGTTAAGGTATGGATAATATACATTATATTATTAAAAGGATACAGTATATTATCCTTTGATATATTCTCAAGTGCATTATCATATGGTGGTACTGTATGCCTTCTTGACAGGATTCAAATACGTATACACAAGATGTGTACCGGGTATTTATAGAATACTGTATATGCAGGAATAAGATAAAATTGCAGTACATACCTGTCATTTCTCTGCACAAAAGGGTTACCAGATAATTTGGTCCACATAGTAGATAATGGTGTACAGGAGTACTTCAATTTACAAATGGGATACATTCCTGAAAAACATTTTCTAAATCAAAGCCATTGTATAAAGGAAGATTTGTTCCTACAAAAAAAAAGTCCCCCAAACATAAAGATACAAATTTTTAACCATATTTTGTGGGAACAATACTTTCTAAGCGTATGTACTAATCATAATAATGATAATAAAGCAGTATAGTACAGTAACAAGTTTATTTGATCCAATTTAGAATACTGTATACAGTACAGTTCTGTATCCTACTCAAAGGAAATTATAGATGGTCAGTGCTTAGGGTGATAGTGTGGCAAGTTCAAGGTATGTGTGTGACAGAGGCATAAATTCATCAATTTCTTGCTGCATATCAACATAATTGAAGTACAGTAATTACGGTAGTTATAAATTTCTGCCTCTTATTCGGTGGTCGGTTAGCCATACTTTTAGAGCAATATACAGTAGCACCTTTATATGACATATTATCCATACAGTATACAGTATATATAAAAGCACAGAAACCTTGCCACACACTAGCCTACACTACAGTACACTGATAATACTCCGTGTTCAGCACGGGATGCTCTGAGATGCCTGTATCAGCAATTCAGCATCTTCCGATGCTATGAAAAAATACCGTGATTTAAAAAAAATAAAAGTGCGTTTTTTGTATGTACTGTATACTGAAGTGGTGGAACAAAAAAAATTGTGCCCCTGTATTAGCGAATTTTCGTAAATCGAAGCAGTGTTTGAAGTTCAGTACTGTATAGATATTTTTGGGGATTATTGATACCAAAATTTTGTCACAAAATTGGCCCAGAAATAGGTTTGCATTCACTACAGCTTATTTGAATTACCTTTAGTATGAAACTTAGACAGCTTTTCATGTTACTTCTTGTAATTTTGTATAGTCTGTCACCAACACCATAACCAAGTTTATACACTGTTTCACCCTTATCTAATTTTTTTTTTTTAATTTCAACTTCTATATACTGTAATGGTGTGTGACATGCTTCGTCTTTGTACCATTACACTCGGCTGTAATTTGAATTCTTGTTTGACACCAATACTATACTGATATTGTACTTTAAAGGGGCATAATAAGCGTAAAAACCTTTGAAACCAGTGAGAAAAGCATGAAGCCAATTGCATCAAATTCAAAATAGTAAACACTGATGAAAGGTTGATGGTAGTACAAGGAAAACAGAATAGCAACCTTCAGAAACTTGTACACAATTTTGGCTGGAAATTTAGATGTACTGTACAGGAATACCCCGGCTATCACAAAGTATGCATTTCTAAAAGTCATTGCAAATATTGGGCCAGTTTTCCTCATAAGAATCAGTGTACAGTAATTAGGGGCGAATGCATTCCCAGCCAGCAACTTCTGCCACTTACTTTTTGATATACTGTACACACCTCATTATCTGAGGCTACAAGGGACCAGGGTCGCATATACTGTATACTGTAGTACCAGTAAATGTGAGGAATAAAAGAATAAATACTACATTTCCAGTTGGCAGTACAGTACTTTCATTACATACGGGGCACGGGAGACTGGAGTGGCTGAGATCCCCAACACTGCTCTCTCCTCTGTGCACATAAGAAATGTTTATTCCCTTTATGTTTTGACCTTATGATAATGTTTCATTATTATTATTGTTTTTGTTTTTTGCACATTCTGTATGAGTGATTGTGTGTGCATGTACAGTAAAAAAAAAAAAAATTACATACCCTATACAATATCTACCTGAAATTAAAAGTTTAAAAATAACAGTAACACAGCTCACAGCTGTACAGTAAGTGTTCTGATTTTTCTTTCTATAAAAAGATGATTCTTTTGTAAATTACATATGATAATGCATAAATATTGTAAACTACTGTTACAATCATGAAGGCAATTTACCATTCAAAATGTGAAACATGATCATACAGGAGTATGGTTAAACTGGACTGCTTGTAGGTGCAAGCAGACACAAGGCACAGCCATGCAGTATTTTTTGTAAATCCTATGTTAATATAAATTATGGCATTTACTGCTAATAGGTTAATAGGGTTATAAAATACACCCCCAGATTGATGTAAGAGATGCTTGGAAGCATCAGTGTGATCATGCCCTTCAAAAGGAAAGCATCGTGGCTTGTAATGTTCTTAAATACTAATACTGTAACTGATTTCATTGCAGCTGTTGCAGTTCACGTATTTCACATTGGCATTTGTGAATGACATTCTAGGATCCTGCTCCATCACAGCCAAGAAGCAGTCAGCTTTACAGAAATTCTGTGATTTTTACTTCTCAACAGTTGTGTTTGCAATTGGTTCAGTAAGTGTTAGCAAATACAGTACAGTGCTTTGGCTTCTCTTAATGTATCTATTGTCTTTAAATATTTGTCTTTTCTCAAACAATGGAGGGTGGCTGGAAATGAGTGAACCATGCAATCAATCTTCCTCTATACAGTTGTATAGTACAAGTACACCACCGATTTTCCGGCACCCTTGGTTCCAAAGCCTTGTCGGATTATCCGTTTTGCCAGACCAACCAAAGTCACAATAATAATTCAACAAAACACCTCTGACCCACTAATCTACACACCTCTAAAGCACCATGGACTACTAGAAACTTAAATTAAACACCAACACTGACACTTGCACCTTAGAAGCCATACCTAGGGTTAAATGTAAGCAAAATAAGCTAAGAATCGCCCAGTAAACTAGTCTGTCCGGACTAAATGAGGTGCCGGACTACCAGTTCCCGGAAAATCGGTGGTGTACCTGTATTATTATTAATAGCAATTTATTCTCTTAATAATAACCATGATTTTGTTACAGTTTTTGTTTAGAAGAGCTCATTTATTTTCACTCTTACCCCAATGATGTTGTATCACATTAAGACTTCTGTAACCAGGATTGTGCTACAAGGCAAAAAAAGATGTTTGAATTCAGAAGCTTGTCTTTCTATTTTAAAGGTTTTGCCCGATTACTTTCACCCCTATCCTGTCCTGTTTACTTTTCTTGCTGGGCACAATATTAACATACAGTACCTTGTTTACTGAGCCGTTACAGGAGAATAAACTGGCTTTTATCTTGATATTCTGTGGTTACTTTTCTTGTCTTGACTCTATAACAAAACAGTGTCCTTATGGGAGGTAGGATTAGTATGCATACTACTTCCTTAAATTTTACTAAACATATAACTAAAAGTTAATAGTAATTATTACTTTTCAAAAATGCCTGAGTACAATGCTGCATTAAAGAACAAGTATTAAAATTTCTGATGAAAAGGGAGAGGTCCAGACCCCCCTCCTGGATCTGTTCTTACAGGTGATGTATCTCAGATACTTGGCTAACTCTTCCTCCCTCTTTCACATACCAACATGCTATGTTGTTGAGTTGGCCACATAAATTGAAATGTGCATCCTGGTAGTCAATCTTTTTGCAGCAAACTGGACTTGGGGTCAGGATCTGAGGGACAGTCATTTGAACTCCAGTTTCAGGCTAGTCAGACAAGTGATATTTTAACAGAGGTGTTGAGAATAGTAGGTCAAAATCAATATATAGTACAGTACTATATATATATATATATATATATATATATATATATATATATATATATATATATATATATATATATATATATATATATATATATATATATATATATATATATATATATATATATATATATACGATTATTTAAATCATTCAATTTAATTTAATCTTTCAGTTTGTCAGCATCTCATTTTGGGGTTTGTACAACATCAACCGTGACCTCATCTTCCCAGTAGTGTTTGACAGCTGGTTCCCCAACTGGCTAAACCACAACGTCCACACAACACCATTAGTGGGAGTACTGACTGAACTTTACCTGGTACCTCATACCTTCCCTAAGCGGAAGACTGGCCTAACAGTGGTCACATGTCTCTGCTTGCTCTATCTCATCTGGTAAGGGGATTGTACTCAAGTGGAATAAGGATTGTAATTATGCCCTGCTTCCATAGAGAGGGGGGAGGGATAATAGAATTGGAGTGCATTTGTATATCTCTCTGAATGCTTCTGTCTGACTTTGCGGACATAACTCAAATACATGTAAGTGTCGATTTAGCCAAACTTTCCCTGCTAACATGGAATATAGCTGTATGACTGAATGTTTGATGACTGTATGACTGAATGTTTGATGATTCTAGAAATAAATTTTTCTTTAAATTCTTTAGGATTCTTGGCTGTCTCTCTCTTACACACACAGACACACACACACCGCACCGATAGATATAAGAACAGCCCGCACCGATAGATATAGGAACAGCACCATCCCATCTATTATTAAAATAATAAACAACTCCTGATTTATGTACTGTGCAGCCCTGTAAATGTATCCAATGCATATTATATCATTATGTCTAAATCAAATGTAAGTCTATATTTTCAGCCACCGGCTGCAACTCTATTAATAAACCGTTTATTATTATTATCACACACACACACACACACACACGTACGTATATACAGGTTCAGATACATCCTGAAGCCAGTATATGGCCAGTAGTAGTAGTACGGTAGGCAGCTACCAAACAGGGAGGTACTACCACCTGGGAAGATACATGTATTTGAAACATAATGTATTGTTTAATGGTAGATCTTGCTGCCATATGGCATCACGAAAATTGTGGCCAAGTCCCAGGTTGCTGATATGACTTTCTGCCTCATTTAATAATAATAATTAATCATAATTAACGGTTTATTGAAAAAGGTCTGCAGCCCGAAGGCTGAAAATATACATTGGACATAAATGACTTATTACATACATTGGTGGTTTAACAAAAGCCTTCATTAGAGAAAGGTAAAGGAACATACAGTGAATATACAGATTAATGTAGGTGTTGAACAGCAAACATATAGTGTAGTAGCTCTCTCCCAGATAGTGTTAGGAGGGACCTCACGTGGTGTAGTAGTTCTCTCAGATGGTGTTATGAGGGACCTGACGTGGTGTAGTAATTCCCTCACAGATGGTGTTATGAGGGACCACGTGGTGTAGTAATTCCCTCACAGATGGTGTTACAACTGACCTCACGTGGTGTAGTAATTTACACACAATTGCAGGGTCTCAATTGTTTCTCTTACTATTGACGACAACATTCATATATTGTTTCTCATTTTTTATTTTATTTTTTATTTTTTTATTTCTTTATGGTTCTTTATTGTACTATTATTACAGTGTTGTTATTATTATTATCAGTATTATTTTATTATTTTATGTAATTTTTTTTATTTTTTATTTTAAATTATATTTACATACTATGAATTATTATTATTATCGGATAACGAGCCGATCAGTGGCAAAGAGGACAAAGTAAAAGTAACTGAATTAGATTTGTCTCTTAGAGTGAAAGTATAGATAGTACCTTACATTTACAGTACTGTACATATACTGTATATCCACCATATATACTTTACACATGCACTATAATACATACAGTACAGTATATAGATACATGAAGTAGAAAAAACAAGGTTTTCATCATCAGTAAGTAAAACAAGGATCTAGCAGTTAAAGTATATTACTATTCATATGTGTCAAATTTGATTTTTGGTTGATTTTCCGAAGACTTAGAGTGTTGACTTTAATTTAGATGTGGAAGTGTATAAGGAAAGGTTCTTTCTTGAGAGTGTTGATCTTGTTTCCAGCCCAAGTACCATTAATGTTATACATCTTTAAAGTGATCAGGGACTATAACATTTTCAATGGTTCTTTTTTACTCTGCAGGGTGTGCTTCATTGCGTACCAGTCAGGACATTGGGTATATCCTATCTTAGCTGCTTTGCCATTGATTGAACGGGCAGTGTTCATCTCAGCGATGTCAGTGCTCATCAGTCTCTTTTACATTGTGGGTGAAGTTCTGAACAGAAATGTTTGGGGTAAGTATTCAGGAATAATGTGTGTGTTTGTATGTATGTGTGTGTTTGTGTTTGCATGTGTGTGTGTGTGTACAGTATACAGTGGAGGTCTTCTTTATTCATATAACAGCTGTGCATACTCAATTATACATACAGTATAACATTTTATCACAAAAAAATTCATTATGTTTGCCATTTTCAGTTGTATTTATGCAAATGCAGTAAAACCTCAATTTAATGGACGAATTGGAGAGAAAGGATGTCTGTTAATGTTGGTAGTCCATTTAATTTGGACGTTTACTTCACTGTTTACATACAATTTTACATAATGACCACCTCTAATAAAGACTTATATATTGAGTACCATTGAAGAGGACAGTATTCCTTGATTATTTGTGTTTTTCATATTTGCTCCTTCAACAATTTGCAAGAGGCAATAAGATAGTGTATTAAATATTAATATACCCTGTACTGTACAGCAATTTGAAATATCTGCTAGCAGACAACATGCCTGCTCGTGCTGCCATCTATTGAGAGCAGGAGAAACCAGAGCTGGCCTTACCCTTTTAATCCTCTCAGCCTCGGAGCCTGAGACACATACGTGCATGAAAACTTACGCTCAGCCTCGGAGGTTTTTGCCAAAAAATCGTTGAAAAATATATACCGATACATTTTTTAGGGCTCATTTCACTGCCATGGAATTGTTTTATTAAATGTAATGGGATCTCTTGTAGCGTAAAATTTTCTGAAAAATTGTATGAAACAATAAAAAATTTAAAATTATTGAAATTTAAGCTACTTTTTTCGAGTACTGTATAAGTTGAAAAGGTAGGAAACTGTTTAGTAACATCTCGATTTCCATTCACATTTTCCTTGTATTATGGTTTCATTGATATGTACTACAGTCTATACTAAAATAAAGAACAAAGCATGTAGAATATACTGGTATGAGGAAAAATAATATAACACAAGTGGCACACCCTCCTCTCACTCTAATGGCCAAGAATGACACTGGCTTCGTGTTGTGCTCCCACGCACACAATGACCAAGACCGTCTCGGGGAAGGTGATAAGGCTCACACAAAGAACACGATGTCTGTGAAATGGCGTCCAAAGTTCAGTCAGTTTCACTGAATAGTTTTTGAGTTATTTGAAAATATAGCCCATTGGCGTTGTGAGGCTGAGCATAAGTTTTTCGCCTTTTATGTTCGACGCCACATTGGTGTCATGCAAGGCTGAGAGGGTTAAGGACCCTAGGCCAGATATGATCTTGCATCCTCCCCATCCCACAAAAAAAATCCCCCCCCCCTCCCACATGCAAAAGGAAAACGAATGGGTCCACAATTTGTTGTTACTTTAGCAGTTTACATAGTTTTTAGATTTGCTGAAAGTATCCACTTTAACTTTTCATTCATGAGTAAAATTTTTTATATCCTCTACTTAGATTTTATTATTCATATTGCATCATATTTATGTTAGTTATGAAACAGATGGATTAGTTATCAATAAAATAAAATATATTAAGTGTTTCAAATGCTTTCAGTGATATATCATTAGTATTTCTTAAAAGTTGATTTAGAATTTCTGTTTCGTGGCCTTCTTTGTTCTGAAATCATAAATGATATGTCATCATATGACACTTGATGCCCAACAGCATGATTTACGCTTATGACAGTATGCCCAGTGAGCACAGGAACAAAATATACCATACAGAAAAATTAGGTCAAATAAGAATGACCCAAGGTGGATGACCAAAAAACTTAAACATGACATAGGAATAAAGAATGGAATTTATAAGAAATTAAAGGGAGGGGAGGAGCAGCTAGGTATGTTAAGAAAAATGTAAGGAAGGCAAAAAGGGACTACGAAATCAGGATAGCAAGAGAATCCAAGGCGAATCCCAAGAGATTTTTCCAGGTATATAGGACAAAGGTCAAGGACAAAGTGGGGCCTTTAAAATCAGAGAGAGGGGAAGTGATCGATGACAGTGAGAAAATGAGCAGAGTATTAAACAGCTACTTATTAGTTTTCACAGAAGAAACTTACGAGGAAATGCCGGAGGTGGAACTGATATTAAGGGGGAATGAAGAAGAGAAATTAAAGAATATCACTATCAGAAAAGAGGATGTTCTTAAGAAGATAAATATATTAAAGAAGACAAAATCCCCAGTGCCGGATGAAATTTTCTCTCGAATTTTGAAAGAGTGTAAGGAACAGATTAGCAGACCCCTTGTAAATTTATATACAAAATCATTAGACACGGGAGTTGTGCCAGACCTGTGGAGACAGGCAAATGTAGTACCCATATTCAAAAAGGGAGACAGAGCATCAGCGTCAAATTACCGGCCAATTAGTTTGACGTCAGTAGTGGGGAAATTTCTTGAATCAATTATAGCAAATAGCATCCGATCGCATTAAGAGAAAAACAAATTAATCTACGACTCAACATGGGTTTACAAAGGGAAAATCGTGTATAACATATCTGCTGACGTTTTTTAGGAAAGTCTTCGAGGTAGTAGATAATAACGAAAATTATGATGTTATTTACTTAGACTTTAGCAAAGCGTTTGACAGAGTACCGCATCAGAGGCTTCTGAGAAAAGTTAAGGCTTATGGTATCGGGGGAAGTTTTAAATTGGATAAAATCATGGCTCACCGATAGAACACAGAGGGTCAGCATAGATGGTGTTAAATCTGAGTGGGGCTGTGTAACCAGTGGGGTTCCCCAGGGGTCGGTACTGGGCCCACTCTTGTTCATAAGCAAGTTTGCGGATGACACCAAAATAGGGCGGCAGATTAATTCAGGACAGGATGCAAATACTGTACACTACAGGAGGATTTAAATAAACTGCAGGAGTGGTCAGAAAAATGACAAATGAAATTCAACACCAACAAGTGCAGCTTACTTAATATTGGAAGAACAAATACTGTCAATGTATACAGCCTTAACAACATCAACATAGAGAAGTCGACTTGTGAAAGAGACTTAGGGGTACTTGTAAGCCCGGACTTATGGCCTAGAAAACAGTGCGTTAATGTTCGAAATAAGGCAAACAGAGTATTGGGTTTTACATCTAGAAGTGTAAGTAATAAGAGTGTGGAGGTCATATTGCAACTTTATCTTGCGCTAATCAGGCCACACCTTGATTATGCTGTTCAGTTCTGGTGCCCTTATTATAGAATGGATATCAGTTCACTGTAGTCGGTGCAGAGAAGAATGACGAAAACGATTCCGGGACTTAGAAACCTTCCATATCAAGATAGATTAAAGAAACTAAACTTTCATTCCCAAGAAAGACGAAGAGTGCGGGGATATATGATAGAAGTCTTTAAGTGGTTGAAAGGAATCAATAAAGGAGATACTGTATAGATAAAGTTCTTATGATATCTGAGCAAGATAGAACTCGTAGCTATGGATTTAAGTTGGATAAGTTTAGGTTTAGGAGGGAGATAGGAAGGAACTGATTCACAAATAGGGTGGTATACAAGTGGAACAAGCTTAGCAACTTTGTAGTAACTGCTGGAATGCTGGAAAGTTTTAAAAGGAGGCTAGATAGTTTCATGGATGATAGAGTGTGGTAGTAACTTTCGACAGGAGCTGCCATGCACAGGCCAACCAGCCTATTGCAGACTCCTTATGTTCAATGTAGACCTTAATTAAGTATTGATAAGTTTAAGTTTAGAGAAGCTCCTCTTCATGTGTATATTTTAGAAGCTCCTATGCTGTCATGTTCACATAGGGTAAGTCTGCCAGACTCCTCATCTCCATGGCCAGTTCCTTTCCATCAGTGTCTGACTCTGCACCACGTGATGCTCAGCTCCTGACACTTGTGTTGTGAGTGCATCGAAGGATATTTCTTTGCAGTGGAAGAGAACTCTAAATTCGTCTCTGACATCTAGGCTATGAAATCTCTCACTGAGTGATGTGATGGCTGAGTCTACTACCATATTGCAAAATGACATGTCCAATTTCTCAGGGCATCGGAAATTGGCACATCTGGAGCTTCGTATCCAAAGTGCCTTCAACACAGATTCCACATTCATCTCCTTGCACATGTCCTTAGCTGATGCTTATGCTAAGACAAATTTTCTCTCATGGTAGCTCACTAGGAAGGCTATAGTTCTTGAGTAAGTTCATAGCCACATCAAGCTGCATGGTAGTAGGCTGTAGGATCTTGCTTACTTGTTGTGTTTGTCTCAGAATGTCATACCATACCATGGTGCATATTACAAAACTGTAAAACCCTATTTCCTCCACCAGTGACTGGGCCTCTATACTTGCCACAGGGTTTGTGACTGTCACATCCAGCAGGGCCTCCTTTTCCTGTGTAGTTTGATAACACACAGCCTCTATAGCTTTGTTTGCCCCTTGTAAACAAAGCAGCAGAAATTATAAAATGGAAATCAGTGTACAGTATTACTACAGTAATACAGTACACTGTAATACAGTAATATTTGTTAGATGTTAGATTAGTGTTTCATGCTGTTCATTTTGTTTCAAATCTCAGCCGGTTTGTTTATAATTAGCTTATAATCATTGTGTACAACAAAAATTGTCAGTTAAAACATGTTGTTTTCGGCATTTTAAGACATTTTTGGGGAGTTTGTTTTTCCAGGAATGTATTTCAACTTTTATAATTGTAGTCTATGGGAAAATGTGATCCAAAAAATTACAAATGGTTTTTCAGGAAGAGAACCCTTTCATAAAACAGGAATGCCTGTGTGTATTTTTGTCTTATTGTAAAATATATTGTTATTTGTAGCAGTGTTCATGTATGATTATGGACCATACTATGTCAAAATAATGATTAATGAATTTTATTAAATATACATGGTTCCTGGAGTAGGTAGTCAAATTTCCAAAAGCCTCTAGGTCCCAAGCATTTTGGATTCTTGATTCTCATTGTATATCCATTACATTACTGTACTATGCAAGGCAGCCTTGAGAAAGCGCAGTCATTTATTCCCATCTGTACAGGCAGTTATTTAGACTTCTCAATTAATATAGGACTGGACACAAGAGCTCTTTCAGTCGTGAATCATTTGTACAAATCATTATGTAACTGGTTAAATTTAGCATCTTTTACACCTTTTCCTTTAATACCACTTTTTTACTTGAGTCAGCAGTGCAGTATTTGCAATGAAAATTTTCAATTTGTCCCTTTGTTTATTTTTGTCATGAATAGTATTTTCACTAATAGAATATTCTTTTATAATATCAAACCCTTTAACACCATGTTCAAGCTTGGTTATAATTTAATTATTTTTAGTTAATAGTTCATCTTTCATGCTTTATTTTGTGATTTTATGTGTTTTAGCATTCACTGAAAATTTACCAGCATTTCTAGTCATATTTTAATGTCTAATAGCTGACATTGTGTACTGTATGTACTGTACAGTGATCCCTTGATTCACGAACACAATTGGTTCCACAGAGTCGCTTGTTAACTGAAAATTTTGTACACTGAATCTATTATTTCAATGGGATTTTGGGTAATTGGTTCCAACTCACAGAAAAAGCACATGCAAAGTAAAGCCAAAAAATGCATGAAGTCAGAAACACTCCTAAAAATCCCCAAATTCGCCCTTAAATCACTATACAGTATATGTATATACCTGTACGTACATATACACTAGAACTCTTAAATCACTACTGTAATGTGATACAGGTGATCAAATTATTTCCTGTCTTGCAAGGATTCCAGTAATGCAAATTATATTCTCCTAACTTTAGTCTGTGATATTATATAAGATAAAAACTGTAAGTCTAAAACCCTGGCTGGGCAGATGGGGGAGAGGGAGGGAGTGAGGGAATGGTGAGGTGATATGTTTGACAGTTGGCACCGAAGGTCTAATATAAGATTGACTAAGCTTTTCTCTTATAAAATGCCATTGCTGGGATTCTTGTAAGATAGTGATTAATTTGAATATAAACAAGCTGTAATTTGCACAAGACATAAAAATTTTGGTACTGTAATCATTTAGTACATGTACAGTACAGGTTTGCACTTAGGTCATTTATTTATTTTACGTTTCTTTTAGTATGGTGTGTGCATGTACGGTAAATGAATAAAAATAAATGAAGAAATTTATGTAAATCTACCCAAAAATACAGTTGAAAATGTACTAAACTAATGTACTAAAATTTTTGTCTCGTGCAAAATATATTATGTTTTTATTCAAATTATCCACTGTCTTGCAAGGATTCCAGCAATGCAAATTTAGTTCTCTTAACCGTTTAGGTGCGTAATTAAATTTCACGCCGGTTCCTGAAAAGTGTCAATTATCCTGCCAAAAATGAATTTCATATAATCACATTTTCTATATGTTTTTCCTAGAGAACTTTTAGTATATTTTCCAAATCTGGAACAAAAATTCACATATGTGTGCAAATTTTAGAGAAAAAATGACATTTATACCCAAAAATGCAGGAAATTGGTATAAATCAATGTCTGGTATATGGCAAATAAATTTAATCAATTTGGTTACTAAACAGCAAATTTAGATATGTATTACATATTCAGATAATATCAAACAAAATAGTACAAAAATAAGCTATATTGCATTCAGGAAATACTCCTATACCTCAATACATAATATGTCCGCATGTCGTCTCATTTGGGGAAGTTTTTTCAAGGCCGTGGGATATCCCCGCTTGTCGCATTTAATTAATATAATATTTTGGGCGGGTTTACCCGCATGCCGCATCCGAAGGGTTAACTTTAGTCTGTGATATTATATAAGGAAGGGGAGGTGACAGTGACATGTTTGACAGTTGGCGCCGAAGGTCTAGTGAAGTACGTGTTTATTTGTTTATTTATGTTCTTTAGATTGAGTTTTTGTTTTTTGCTTATAAAATGCCATAGAAGTGAACGGGGAGAATATAATTTACATTGCTGGAATTCTTATAAGATAGTGATTAATTTGAATATAAACATGCTATTGTTTGCACTAGACAAAAATTTTAGTAATCATTTTTTTATATTATTTTGAGTACATGTACAGTACAGCTTTGCCCTTAGGACAGTGTGTGCATGTAAATGAGTAAAAATAAATGAATAAAGTTAAATATATCGAGCCAAAAATATTAGTTGAAAAACTTTATATAGACAGAGCTTGGATGACTAAATTTTAGAATGACCAATAATTTTAATATAAAAAATGCAAAAATATTCAAGAACACAACTTTCTTGATATTTACGCCACTGGAAACGAATGTAAACATAGAACCGATTACTGTATTGGCGGACTAGCTGATTGGCTGATGCGCACAACAAAGCATGTTTCTCCTAAGGCTTTCGTTAATGGAACTGAAAATCTTTATGGAAGCTAATTCATTTACCGAAATTTTGTTAATTGAACCGTTCGTTAATCGAGGAACCACTGTAATTGTCTCAACAAAATCTGGTTGATAAAAGCTGGTGATCAGACTCATGAATTAACTTTTTCAGGAGTGGGAGTACAGCAGAAGAAAATGAAGTAGATGAACCTAAAAGGAAATTCTGTAAGTTGATTGTACTGTACCATGTCATAATAAGGTGTTTGAGAATAGAGGTAGTATGTGAGTAGCTTTATAATTATGATGAATTTTGGGGTGTAGTATTTTTAAATAAAATGGTTTTTGTTCTGTGTGCAGTGTTCATGAAAATTTTTTGATTAACCATTGTTTTATATTTAGATCATCTGTTCAGTCAAGGTTATTGATAGAAGCAAGAAACATTCCATATTGAAGTAAAATTCTTGTAGCTGCATAATTTTTCTTCTTGTATAAATAGAAACAGCCTGTCGCCTTAATATCAACTGTAACAACTTTGAGAAATGTACAGTAGCATTACATCTTTTTAGTTTATTTAACCCTTACGAGGTAATAGGTAGTAATAAACTTTTTATCTCAAAGAATATGAGTTAGTATGTAAATTTATGATCCCAGTTTCCTGACAGATGAATAGGTGGGTTTGAATGTTATGCAAGGTATAAATGCCTAAGGCTTCCAGAAACATAATTGTCTGGTCCATAACTCAGCACAGTAACTCTCAGAGTTGTTTTACTGTAGGGTCTTATGCTGGCTCTCTCACCATGGTAAGAATGAAGCCTGATTACAGTGTCTTGAGCTTGAGGGAAATGATGAATTTTTTAAAATAGAGAATACTCACTGTGTCAGTTATCAACAGTCTTCAGCCCACTCTTATGACTCGTGCAAGGGAAGGTTCCATCATGTATACAATATTTTTATAATTTTTTTAGAAATTCTTTCTGGTGGACACTTCCATTAAAACCTTAGGCCCTGGGTGACTTTCCAGAACGTCCGACCAGCGCGCCCCGGGTGACGTTCTAGAACGTCCGCCTGTTCCCGCCATTTTTTTGAAAAGTTTTTTTCTCGATTTATCCCTGTGGGAGGGGGGTGGGGGTACTGCCAGCAGCACCCTAACCTAGGGCTTAAGGGTTAAATATGAACTGATATTTGACAAAGGCATAAGGTTAGTGATAAAAATATAAAGGTAATGTTACACATACAGAACATGGTTATTGTTATGGTCGTCTCCCCTTCCCTCAATATTTGTTTCAGTTACCCATTGTATTTAGTTTCTGTTGTTTCCCGTTTTTCTTTAGAATCGAATTTCCACGCTTATGGTGAAGACTTTAAAAATGTTTCATTATGTAAACTGTGTAGAATGTATTCTTATTTTTATACAGTTATGAAAGACTGTAAGAAACAGGTGGAGACTGTGATGTAGCTTGTGAAGTAACTTGTACAGTACTGTATAAATTTTGCTCTTTTTATGATTTCATTATTGCTATTTATATGCTTTTGTTATTGATGTTTATATGATATATTTTAAAATTTTAATGTTATTGTGTACAGTTAAAGCTACCTTTACTCATGTGAGTCTAATGATTGAACAGAGGCTTCATCACCAGTTACAGAGAGTTCACTGTAAATTAGTACAGTTTAGGTGTAGCACTCCGAATTTTGGTAAAACCCTCTAATATTTGGTTACTCCCAGGTCCCAAGTATGCTGGATAAATGGTCCCGTGCCTGTATATGCTGTACTACATTTCCTATTTTTAGCTCACATTAAGTATTTCCTGCTAAAAGGATACTGTAGTAGTAACTAGAGCCTTTAATTGGAAAAAATGTAGGGCCAGTGTTATAACCAATATACAGTACAGTACTTAGATTGTCAGATAAAAGTTGTGCTGCTTTTATTAAATGGTGTAACTTCATTCTTAGTAGTCATAATAGTTTATGTAATAATATATATATTATTAATTTTTAATGAACTATGAAGCTTTAAGTAACCTTAATCACCTACATCTGATTATTTGTGCTCTACCTGTACAGTATATGCACTGCAGTTGTTTATTGATTATGTTATATACTGTATGTACTGCAGTTTTTCATTATTATTAAAATTTTATCACTTGGTCATTCCATATGTAGGTTTTTAACCTACATATGAAAAGTACCAAGCACTTTTTATGAAAGATAATGCAAAAAAATAATTACAAATTAATTATTTATAGGAAATAAGTATTGTTGTCAGTAATTATATGCATTATTGGCTATCTTGGACACAAAGGCAAGCTATAAATAGCTGGTAAGTGCATAGGTGACCACTAGTTCAGCTGTCCAAACAACACTGTCCCTTTATCTACCCCCTCTCTTCCCTCCTTTTGCACTGCCAAGGAAGTTTCTAGAGGGTCAATATATAGTTTTTCTTACTTATTTTTTATTGTTTTATCATTTAAAAGGGTAAAAAATTATATTTGGAAAAGTTAATTTTTTTCCATTTACCCCCGAGTGTGGGGTCCTGGCAGCGGCACCCTAACCCGGGGCTTAAGGGTTAAATTAATAAAATGAAAAAATGTGCTATTAATCATCTCAGTAACTCCATGTTAATTTGTATTTGATTATTGAACTCCTAAACACAGATAAAACTTGTCTAATAGCACAAATATGTACGAACTGAACTCCATTCTTTCGTAATGAAATTTGTAAGTGTAAAATAATGTAGGACTAATAAATTTACTCAACATTTTGTGGTATTGGTAACCAAGATGGTGTTCAAAAATTTTATTCTCCATTGTTTTAAGACTGATTCTTACCCTTTTATAAAGCAGCCTAGCAATAATGAGACAAATTTTGTTTCCTGATATTATGGATTAATTGAAAGTTTAGTAGTTATTACTTTTGGTGGGATACCGGTATGTTTTGAAGGTAGAGAAGGGGAGGTTGGAGTGAATTTTCCTTTTAATATTTCTCTCTCTCACTGCCATTTGCTTCTTTTACTGCATGCTCCCTCTCTCCTTGTGGTAGATTTTCTGTACAGTACTTGGGGCCTGTGGCTAGTTTTTATGGGAGCCCTTTTCAATGAGCTTTATTAGTACTTAGTAGGTAGTAGCTAGCTGTCAAACTGGTACTACAGCCTGGAAAAATATGGGAAGCATAGTGTGTTGTCCAATGGCAGACCCTGCTGCCATATGACATCACAAATATTTTGACCAAGTCAGAATTGGTGGGTTTCAATTGTTTCTCTTACTTTGACAACACAGCATACATAAATATCTTTTCTCACTCTTGATCTTTTTTCTTTTTTGTATTTATTTATGGTTCTTTATTAGTATTATTATATTATTTTTTATACTTTTTATTATAATTTATATTTATTTTTATTAATTGTTTTACAGGTATTATTATTATAACTATTATTATTATTATTACATTATTATTATTATTATTATTATTATTATTATTATTACAGTGTATATCTGGGTTTAGCGATCGCTTCATACCATCTTGAGGCCGCTAAACTCGAGATAAGTAATGACAATGCTTTGTTCCCAGCCCAATGCCACTGTCCATTTATTTTTTTTACAATTTCAGTCCATCTATAGCCACAATTGTGCTACAGAAGCAACAGTACCACCTCTTGCAGCATGCAAAAACTGCTTTATCTGCTCTTTCTTCACTCTCACACCCCGTATTATAGACTCATTCACTCCTTATAACTTAGCCACTGCAGTAGGACCCATACCACTTTCAAGTTTATCCAAAATCTCTCCTTTCTCCGTGAGACAAAGCAGCTTTGTCTTCTTACCAAGACGTTCTTGTCAGCTTCCTTTCCCATATAAACCGTTTTCCAGTCCCACTGGGTCCTGGTTGTGCATCAGCCATCGCGAAGTTACACAGTAGAAGCGATCACTAACTTCAACAGCATGCGTGACTAACTGGCGAGAACAGCGTGCGTGACTAACTGGCGAGAGATTAAAAAACAATGGCACACAGCGGTTACATTAGCTTTTACAGTCTTGCACCATTTAGCAGGGGTCAATGATTCAATCAATTTCAGAGACAGCATTGATTTTGGATACAGCTCTATGTCGTCTATAGACAATGCTAACAAAGGAGGGAGGAAGTCTGTGTTGATAGCTACTAGCCAGATAGATGCTTCTTTCTGCTGTGGTGTCAGTTTTACACCATTATATCAAGGATGTTCTTAGTACAGGTATGCTACCAAGTGTGCAGGTGTCACATACTGTTGATATCTCTTCTCAATGATGTTTTTGTGTGTTTGTAACACAGGAGCCTCAAGTAACTTACATCATATGTTATTGTGTACAGAATCCCCCAAAGTACAGTCGTCCCTTTGTAGTTTATTTAATGCAACAGAAACCAGTTTCAAGACTCGGATGCATATCCTCCATGTGAATGTTTGCATTGTTTGCAATCTTAACTACGTTTGGCCGAATTTCATCTCCATGTTCACAACATATTTCAACATATAATCTTCCGACTATTCCACTGTGTGGCATTTGGAATTTGAGTTTTGACACCATTTCTTTCTGTAAGTCAACCCAGTGGTTGATGGTGGTTTCTGAAATCTTTTTGAACCTCCACAATTTGTTGCAGAATAATTCTGGGGTTTAGGGGAGGGGGATAATTATGATTAATCCCACTTCTGTATATCCTTTGTAAGGAGGGGAAATATCCGAAATAGTGTTCTTCTTTGTTTATTTTCCTTTCCATCAGTGTTTAGATCTTTGCTTTTTTTTCCCTTTTCATCCTTCATAAGCTCAGCTTATGGCCTGACATGACCTTCAGGACCACTGGCATCTTCATATAAATGACCAAGTTCTGACCCAGGAGTCAGTCATGAGCCCCTGTTTCAGCTGTGAACAACACATGCGCACTCTTACATTATCGTGATATTCCCGTGCGTGTATAGTGTGTTTGCTTTGTATCTAGTCCACGATGGATATTCGCAATTTTATGCGCCCAACTGGCATACAGTCAAAGCCGTCAAGCCCAGCCAGAGACGTCGCCAAGGAGACTCTGGGTACATCATCATCCACCAACACTGAATCTAGTGCAACTGCCAGCATCCCAGTGAAACATAAACTACAGTGTGACGATGTAAATGTCACTTCTGCATTGAAATGCCCACAACGCAAGTACAAATATCTATTACAGGTAGTCCCTGACTTACGACTGCTTGGACTTACGACCGTCGGGACTTACGATCACCGCAGTTGTGACCATTTATTTATTTATTTTTTTATTTATTTTTTTTCAAATGACACGTATTTTCTATACCGAAACGTTTCCAGTTAATGTATTCTCCATGTATAATTACAAAATTATGGGGGCCCCATGTGCATTCAGCTGACTACATTAAAGGTAAGTGCTCAGTCACACTGTATCCATTCCTCATTATTTAGTACTTTCACTGTACTGTATCCATTCCACATTATTTATTACTTTTACTGTACTGTATTTCATAGTAGATTTTTTATTTATTTATTTTTTTATTTTTATTTTTTTATCTATGTCGGACTTACGACCATTCGGACTTACTACCTGGATTTGGGTCCCTAACCCCATCGTAAGTCGGGGTCTAGCTGTAATTATGCGTAAGTCAGACGGTTGGACATTTTTTTCGTAAATGATGTATGACAAGATGTCGATATAGTTCACCTTACCGACTATTTATATTTTTTGTGCCTAAATCATCATTTACTGTGTTGAATATTGAGAAACATTAGAATCCCAAAACTTTAGTCCTGCTTATATTTCTACATCCTATGTCACGAATGTACATTTTTTTAATACACCGTTTAAAATCTAATATTATTAATATTCAACACAGTAAATGAGGTTTAATAATAAGTTGTCAGCAATAATTTGGGAATCCCTAATTATTGCTGACAATTTATTATCAATCATTTACTGTGTTGAATATTAAGAATATTAGCTTTTTAACGATGTATTCCAAATATTGTATATTCGTGACATTTATAGGATGTAGAAATAGTCGGGGAAACACAAAATACTATATGAATACCCGCTACGCTATCGACGTTTCAGTTTACATTATCTTCATATGTTGTCTATGCGTATCCCTAATTATTGCTGTTATGACATTGAATGTTTACTCTCACTCTAAATCACCCCTTGATTATCTTTTCAAATAATCTAATAGCCATCACATATGGCCTCAAAAAGTCTCTGAAATTTATCAAATTTCAAATTTTTCTCGGGGGAGCTTACAGCGCCCCCCTTTGAACCCCCCAGCTGTATGGGTTTACTGCGCTCGCCCTATATATATTTACATTCGGACAATCTGGGAAACCCCCATACCAGAAGCCTGGGTATGCCCCTGTACACAGATGTGATGTATGCACAAATCCCCTCATGTTTGTTATAAAAATGTATATGGCCATCGTAATTCCAGTGCAGTTATCTGAAATATCTACGGTGGTGGGCGTAGCCTAGCAGCGATCAGTTGATGCAGTTTTGAGGTAGCAACAGACGAGTTGCGATAACACACTCTCTTTTCTTCTACATTACGACTAAATAATTCAGTGTTTTATAAACTACTGTACCTTGTTCTACATATACTTAAGATTAATTTATAATGTTATTATGTATAAAACTCGCCAATAATTGGGGCTGTGCAAAGAAAACTAGGTAGCACTCACCGTGGATCAAGCCCGGGATGACGTCATGGTTTGTAGTGGAGCGGCAGCTGTCAACATCCACCAGCATGTCGCACGAACCCCATGCTCGAGGTTAAAACTTCCGGCTGCATAACCTGAATTTTGAGCGTCGTTCAGCCGGCCGCATGTATAACAATTCCCGACCACATACGGTCAGAAAAAGGAAGGTTGCGGACCCCTGACAGACGACGTTCAGACGACCCTCGCCTTGCACACTAACATCACCTGTTGATCCTGCGTCCAACTATATGCTATGTGACTTACGCGGTTTTTGTCTTGCTTTCCTGTCTTTCTTATTATAGTCCTTGTTAGAAACTCCCACACCAGTCCCTGCGCATGTGCAGTAGACGCTTAAGAAGCGAAGACGGAGGTAAGGAGCACTGGGTGAGGGGTGGTCAGAGCTTCTGCGCCAGACGTAAACAACAAATGGCGACACTTGTGACTGAGCAAATCTAATAATATTGAAAAATTAATATCTTGGTTATCCTTAATTTCCGGCGGAAATATCTTAAAGAAAAATGTCTTAGGAGTGTCTAAACATTATGAAATACATATTAATAACAGCGAAAGAATGACCGGTGTAAGACTATAAATTCACCCAAAATTTAAACCAAATCGCACATTTCCTTCTGGTGGTCTGGTTTCATAAACCTTTACCAACTATATGAACAAATGACAAAAATATAATGACGTTATTGAATACATAATTCTGCATAACATTCTAACACAAGAAATAATGTCTGAAGAAGAAAGGGTATTATTGCGTTTACACACCGTTCATTCTTACCACTTATTTATTATCATATTCGAATAATACGTCTAATTCTAAGATAATTTTCATCTATTACATTACCAGCGGAAATGTGTAATAACGGAGATAGCTTTTCCAAATAAATTTCTATTTTCTTCCATTATTTCCCGCCATTATCGTCTGCCTCTCACCCAACACTGCGTGTCTCTCGCATCTCCTTCATAAATCATGACGCGCATGCGTACCCGTACACTTCATGCAGCCAATCAAAAGCGTGTTTGCTAATTC